CAATCAAGGGTATTTCCCTGTCCCCAGACGACCTGCTTGTCAGTTTTGATGTAGTTTCCTTATTCACCAAGGTTCCTGTACCTGACACCATTGCAATCATTGAAGACTTGGTTCATCAAGGACTAAACACTGAGGTACCCCCCCTGGTGAGACACTGTTTAACCAATACATACTTCACTTGGAATGGAACTTTCTACAAACAAACTGAGGGCACCCCAATGGGCTCCCCCCTTTCTCCAGTTATAGCTAACATTTTCATGGAGAAATTTGAGACTGACGCCATCCAGACTGCCACTCTGCGCCCAACCTTATGGAAGAGGTACGTGGATGACACTTTTGTCATCTGGCCACATGGCCGGCCTGCTCTAGACCAATTCTTCGACCACATCAATTCCATACACCCAGCCATCAGATTTACCATGGAAGTCGAAATAGATGGCAAGATACCTTTTTTGGATGTCCTAATTAAAAAGAGACCTGATGGTTCAATGAGCCACTCTGTCTACAGGAAAGCTACCCATACGGATGCTTATCTGAAACCGGATTCCCACCACCATCCATCACAGAAGAATTCTCTCATCAAGACTCTGTATCATAGAGCCCAATGCATATCCGACCAGGAACACATAAGCAGTGAACTCAAGCACGTACACCAAGCTCTTAGGGCTAATGGTTACTCCGACTATACAATCCGCAAAGCTATCACTCAAACCATGAAGAAGAACCCTCTTGAGGAGCCTTTCAAAACCATCACTTTACCCTACATTGCTGGGATCACAAAAAGATCTCCAAAATCTTGAATAAACACAAGATCCAGGTCCGTTTCAACACATTACATAAAATCCGTGATCTGGTTCCGTCTGTAAAAGATGTGATTCCGGACATACAATACCCTGGTGTCTACAAACTAAGTTGCCTCTGTGGTAGTAGTTACATTGGAGAAACCAAACGCCATATCTCGGACCGCATTCGTGAACATAAAGCAGACCTTAAACACGGTAGGACCAACACCTCGGCCGTAGCAGATCATTGTTCTAATTCAGTAGGCTCACATGCCATTGACTTTTCCAAGACGGAGGTTCTTTGTAAGCCATCTGGCTTCCATGAGAGATTCGTTCATGAGGCTATCCACATATACAAACACAGAGACAATTTCAACCGAGAAGATGGATTCTATCTTAGCAATCATTGGAAAGATTTGATAAATCATTTCAGTTCTTGATTGATTGTTCACGCTTACAGTGCCTTTCAGACAGCATACATAAAAACAAATTTCGTCTCCCCCCTCCTCTTTTCAAAAAATAGATGGACTAGTCCTGGCAAACTGCCATCGTTGCGCGTGACGCAAACGTTATTTTTATATATATAAATAAATAAATATGCCGTTTTCAAAATAAATTTATGCAAACCGACACACCTGATGATGACCGTTTGAGTTATGGTCGAAACGTGAGAATTTTTTATTGTTTTATATATATTTTGTTATTTTGTTGTTTCTCTTCAACGTGACTTTACCGAAAAAACTAAGAATATGAATTACTGCAGTTACGAAAGCTTTAAATCAAAATTTAATCGCCTCTACGGGGAGGGTTTTCACATAACTTTAAGATCCTTCAACAAACTCCGGGATAAGAAAGCTCAGCTGATCGAGTCTCTCACCTTCCTGAAGAGATGCCGCGACTCTGGGGTAATACCAATCGCATTTACACTCACCTCTGCTACTGTAACTTCTTCTAATGCGAAACGAATTCTTTTCAAAACTAGCTTAGCTCTTATCTCAGAAAAAATCAGACTTATACGCACAGAACTAGATCAGTTAGACAAGACACTCTACAAATCACACTTATCATTGACGGCAATAATGTCCACATCGGATTGGGAACATGTAGACAATATGACTGCCTCTTCAGCTGCTACTATGTCGACCAAATGTAAGGAAAACCTGATTTCCAAATTTAACCTCCTCTTCAACAAAAGACCGGACCCACACACCAAAAAGTTAGACGTTAATAAAGTCGTAATTAATCGCAGTAACAGTTCTATTTCCGATGGTCTGAAATCCGTTTTAGCTAAAGGTCTAAACTTTGCAGTCACACCTAAACACATACCAGTTAATGATATAATTGCCCAAGTAGACGTTGCTCTCAGGGGCCTGGGTCACATCGCTGCAGACGTAGCAAGATCTGAAATCGCTGCAACCCTCAAAAACGCTAAGATGCCAGCTAGCAACCTCAGCAAAGATGAGCGTTTTGAATTATATAAATTAAAAAAGAGGAATGATATTGTAGTTCTCTCAGCTGACAAAGGCAATGCTACTGTTATCATGGATAAAATAGAATACAACAACAAAATTAAAGAATTACTCGACGATGGTAGTTATACAAAAATAAAAAGAGATCCCACCAACAGCCTCGTCACACAAACCAACAAAATAATTTCTGATTCAACCGCATTAATTGATCAATCTAAACAGTTTTCGTTGAAACCTTCTGCTGCCAGGCCACCAAGATTATACGGCTTACCAAAAATACATAAAGTTGATACACCTCTTCGTCCCATAGTCTCTACTATCAGCTCCCCCACCTACAAACTAGCTCGTTTTTTGTCTGAAATCCTGCGTCCTTTCACTGGAAAGACCACCTCTGCGGTACAAAATTCTACTCACCTGGTATCAACAATCAAGGGTATTTCCCTGTCCCCAGACGACCTGCTTGTCAGTTTTGATGTAGTTTCCTTATTCACCAAGGTTCCTGTACCTGACACCATTGCAATCATTGAAGACTTGGTTCATCAAGGACTAAACACTGAGGTACCCCCCCTGGTGAGACACTGTTTAACCAATACATACTTCACTTGGAATGGAACTTTCTACAAACAAACTGAGGGCACCCCAATGGGCTCCCCCCTTTCTCCAGTTATAGCTAACATTTTCATGGAGAAATTTGAGACTGACGCCATCCAGACTGCCACTCTGCGCCCAACCTTATGGAAGAGGTACGTGGATGACACTTTTGTCATCTGGCCACATGGCCGGCCTGCTCTAGACCAATTCTTCGACCACATCAATTCCATACACCCAGCCATCAGATTTACCATGGAAGTCGAAATAGATGGCAAGATACCTTTTTTGGATGTCCTAATTAAAAAGAGACCTGATGGTTCAATGAGCCACTCTGTCTACAGGAAAGCTACCCATACGGATGCTTATCCGAAACCGGATTCCCACCACCATCCATCACAGAAGAATTCTCTCATCAAGACTCTGTATCATAGAGCCAAATGCATATCCGACCAGGAACACATAAGCAGTGAACTCAAGCACGTACACCAAGCTCTTAGGGCTAATGGTTACTCCGACTATACAATCCGCAAAGCTATCACTCAAACCATGAAGAAGAACCCTCTTGAGGAGCCTTTCAAAACCATCACTTTACCCTACATTGCTGGGATCACAAAAAAGATCTCCAAAATCTTGAATAAACACAAGATCCAGGTCCGTTTCAACACATTACATAAAATCCGTGACCTGGTTCCGTCTGTAAAAGATGTGATTCCGGACATACAATACCCTGGTGTCTACAAACTAAGTTGCCTCTGTGGTAGTAGTTACATTGGAGAAACCAAACGCCATATCTCGGACCGCATTCGTGAACATAAAGCAGACCTTAAACACGGTAGGACCAACACCTCGGCCGTAGCAGATCATTGTTCTAATTCAGTAGGCTCACATGCCATTGACTTTTCCAAGACGGAGGTTCTTTGTAAGCCATCTGGCTTCCATGAGAGATTCGTTCATGAGGCTATCCACATATACAAACACAGAGACAATTTCAACCGAGAAGATGGATTCTATCTTAGCAATCATTGGAAAGATTTGATAAATCATTTCAGTTCTTGATTGATTGTTCACGCTTACAGTGCCTTTCAGACAGCATACATAAAAACAAATTTCGTCTCCCCCCTCCTCTTTTCAAAAAATAGATGGACTAGTCCTGGCAAACTGCCATCGTTGCGCGTGACGCAAACGTTATTTATATATATATATAAATAAATAAATATGCCGTTTTCAAAATAAATTTATGCAAACCGACACACCTGATGATGACCGTTTGAGTTATGGTCGAAACGTGAGAATTTTTTTATTGTTTTATATATATTTTGTTATTTTGTTGTTTCTCTTCAACGTGACTTTACCGAAAAAACTAAGAATATGATCCTACATAGTCACTAATCTTATCTAGAGTTACGAGTCTTATCTAGAGAAGTCACTAATCTTATCGAGAGTAACTGATCCTACATAGTCACTAATCCTATCTAGAGTTACGAGTCTTATCTAGAGAAGGCACTAATCTTATCGAGAGTAACTGATCCTACATAGTTACTAATCCTATCTAGAGTTATGAGTCTTATCCAGAGAAGTCACTAATCTTATCGAGAATAACTGATCCTACATAGTCACTAATCCTATCTAGAGTTACGAGTCCTATCTAGAGAAGTCACTAATCTTATCGAGAGTAACTGATCCTACATAGTCACTGATCCTATCAAGAGTTACGAGTCTTATCTAGAGAAGTCACTAATCTTATCGAGAGTAACTGATCCTACATAGTCACTAATCCTATCTAGAGTTACGAGTCTTATCTAGAGAAGTCACTAATCTTATTGAGAGTAATGGATCCTACATAGTCACTAATCTTATCTAGAGTTACCAGTCTTATCTAGACAAGTCACTAATATTATCGAGAGTAACTGATCCTACATAGTCACTAATCCTATCTAGAGTTACGAGTCTTATCTAGAGAAGTCACTAATCTTATCGAGAGTAACTGATCCTACATAGTCACTAATCTTATCGAGAGTAACTGATCCTACATAGTCACTAATCTTATCGAGAGTAACTGATCCTGCATAGTCACTAATCCTATCTAGAGTCATCATCACTGACTGTCCCACTGCGCCGCGCTGGCACCCCCCCCCCCCGCCGCCCCGCCCCCACTCACTGTAGACCTTGACCTCGTAGTTCTTCAGAGTCTCCCCGGCTTCGTTGGTGGCAACACAGGTGTAGCGGCCCGCGTCCTCCGCGCCGGCATTCAGAATCTGCAGCGTCCGCCCCCCTGCGGAGATGCAGCGGGCAGCGGCGTTACGCGGAGCCTCGTATCGACGTCGCTCAAAACGATCGTCTGCGTCGTCGTGGGGAATATAAGCAACCAAATTGAAAACAGCCCCGAATGTGCTGATGAGAGCCTGCGTGTCGAAACCGGTCCAGAGTTTGCTTTTATTGAATTAAATACCGCTGAAATGATTCACTCTCAGAAGGCCGTGGGGCCGGTGGGTTTTGCAAAGAATAGCTTTAATCTTTATGTGGACAGACAGATACATGAAGGAGATAAATTGTCTGATATAGACACAGCATTGCTTCATCCAGCTGGGATGATAAATATGCATATTGCAGGGGGTGGCAAGAGGAGTGGGTTTATACCTAGGCTCTATGTGCCTTAGGCACGGACCAATTGAACCCTCCTCCCAAGTAACCCAATACATCGTCTCATTTGTAGCCATCTACTCCCATCTCGCTACAGCTCCACGTCTTGTCTATAACTCTCGTGCCATCTCGCCAGTTCACGAATGGAATGCCGAGGTGATGGTGGAGAATAGTGGCGCTGGCTATCATGGTCATACTGGTGATTATGGTCATTGTGCTGATGGTGGTTCTGTTTGTGATGGTGACGATAATGTTTCTGGTGGTACTAAATCTATATTTACTCGATAATTTTTCATAGCATACTCCTCCCAGTTGCTTCCAATTGTTTTAAACTGTTTATGCACTTAATCGGTGGTGGAACTAATGCTGTCAACATGTGCAAATGTAAACACGTGCCGACAGTGCCGCTGATGGACAGACACGCTCATCATGATGCTGCTTGTGGGCACCTAGGTCGTGCTGCTGCTGCCACACACGCGCACCTCTGTTAAGCGCGGTTGGCTACGTACGGCGGTGCGAAGGAAGTTCAACATTCATGCATTCGCACGCACACACGTACGTGCACGCAGCCGCGAGCTGCCGTCTCACCGGGTAGTATGCGCACGTTGCTGTTGGCCTGCACGGGCAAGCCGTCCTTCAGCCAGGTGAGCGTGGGCGCCGGGTAGGCCTGAGCCTCGCACACCAGGGTCGTGGGGCTGTTGAGGATCACCGTGACGTCCTGAGGCCCCGCATCGGGCCCGGCTCCCGGGATCGTCGGCGTCACTTGGCCGAGCGAGGCGGGAAGGGCGCGGGAGGGAGATGGGGCACGAGTCAGGTTATGGAGGCGATAAGAGGCGGATAGGCCCGTGAGAAAGACAAATGGCAAATGCGGAAAACACCCACTGCGCAGCAACCTTGCCCACTGATTATACACTCGGCCTATTTACTCTTTTTCTCTGTTCAGGTTGAATAAAATGGTCACAATTAGCCGATTGTTAACTACCTTCTGCATGCATTCATGTAGTATCTATGTCTGTTGAACTTCTTTCGCACAGTACGTAGCCAACCGTGATAATCAGAGGTGCGGGGGAAGGGCAACAAACTAAACACAAAAAGCAGTTCTCAAGTAATTACTTTGCAATCTAGATTTAAAAGTGCATAGTTCCAGTGGCTTCCTAATAAAGGATTAATGTTGCTTACAATTTGCTTTGCATTCCAAAGGCTCCTTACATATCATTGAGCCATGCATCCTGACACCAACCTCCTGAATGATTTAATAATTCTTCATTCTCTGTAGACTCCCTTTCTACTACAGTGGGTCATGTAGCCCATCACTAATCTCTTGGATAATTTGAAAAATTGAAGACTCATTGAACTTCAGCGAGACTGACATCATTTCCACACTCTGCGAGCAATCTTGGTGTATACCAGCACTAATCCAAACATCCTCATTGTATCCAATATATATATATAACTCTCTTACGTTTAAACAATCACGAATGGAATTGGGCAAGTATCTCAATGCAGGGAACCTCTGGAACAAAGTTAAATGTCAGCATGATTATTTACGAACTCAATTTCACCTGAAGACAGCTAGTCAGCCAAAATGTCGACAGCAAAACCCCCATAATAATTTTTCGATAACTTTGTACTAATTGTGAAATTTTACATAAAAAAAGTAAATGTGGACTCGTTTGAAAATTATTTGCCTGGATCTCAATGAGGTGTCTGTAAGAGGCATTTATTTACATGTGGTGTTTAATGTAATTTCCTCAAATGCAGAGGCACGCCAGATATATTCTGAGCAACGTTTCCTCCCACATGCAGAAATGTGAAGGACACAAATATATCGACCAATTATCTTCAGTAAGGACCCCGCTTAAAAATGGTTATTGAGACTCACTGAGGCCTACGTTGGTAAAGAAAAAAATGCATTTGTGGATGGATATGATGCCAAGTTACTCATACATAATTACATGATCACAATCTAGGTGGCAATGTATGTATATATGTTGAATATCTTTCGTAAAAGTACGTCAGCAGCATTCTTCACTGCCAGTCAGAAATGTGCGCGTTCAAATTCCGGACAGGGTGCAACTCTGACCATCAACCCTTTCGGGTTCATATAAAAAAAAGAAAAGCCACTTTATTGGGTTGTCAACAGCGGTTGTCAGGTGGAGAGACTGGCCCCCCACCAAGAATAACGTGGAAATCTCTGGCTCGTAAGAGACCCAGCCCGCCCCCACGCTCGCACGACGAGCGAGCAGACACTTTGATTACAAAGCGCCTCTCGCTGCATCCACCCTGGCAGTATGACGAGCCGAGTGTGAACGTGTCGCCCAGCGAGTGGGTGTCACACCACAGAGCTAGTACCCAGGACGTTGAGGTTGTAGTTCTTGGTCCGGGCCCCGGCCTCGTTGGAGGCCACGCACGTGTAGCGGCCGGTGTCGCCCACACGCGCATCCATGATCTGCAGGAAGCGGCCTCTGGAGACGATCGTGCGTCGTCCCTCCTTCTCCTCACCCTCGCCGTCCTCCTCCGCGTCTCCCTCCAGCAGGGGCTGTCCATCCTTAAGCCAACGCACGGTTGGTGTTGGGTTACCTGCACGGGCAAAAGAAAAAAGATCCCCCCCGCCTTGTAGCCTTCAACAGACCGATGGGGCGAGTGCTGTTAGAGAGCTCCCATGAAGGCCGGCACGCCACACGAGAGGAAGGGTGGCCAGCGCCACGCCCGGCCGCCTTTGTCTCCCCAGTGGCGATGTTTACACACCGCACCAGATACTCATTCAGGCTGAGTCGACCTAGAGGCGGCCCAGAAAAAGTTCAGGTATTTGTCACCGATCTTGGCCGTGAGCGAGAATCGAACCCAGCTCACCGGGCTCGCGGCGCGGTGCGCTAAGCGCTACCCAACTGCTTCGTGCACACAAAGAGACACGGGTGTTTTGTGAAACGGTTCCGCGCGTCACTTCCCACGGCCTGGCGGAGCGCCAGTGGCCCACGGGCGCCGACTTTGGGGAACCAGCGGTTACGAGGCTGCTGCTAAAAGGGGCCCAAAATCCCCGCAATTGCAGAGAGCTTCCAAACTCGACAGTACATCCCGTTTGTTGCGTGGAGCGCAATTGGGGATAACTGGTTGTGAATACAATTTACGATAATAGGCTGCGTAAAATTCCGAGGCTGCTCACCTTCTACCTCGCAGGTCAGTGTGACCTTGTGACCTTTCTTGACTTTCACGTCCTCCACCACTTCGTTGTCTTTGATGGTTGGTGGAACTAAAGAGAGGGGGCAGGGGGGGGGATTTATAGAGACACATTAAACCCAAAGAGTGCAAATTATCGATCACTCGTTGGCCTCGTCTGTATGACTTTTCATTGAGCACACAATATTATAAATTTTTGAATTTGATGGTAGAAAAAAGCAATTGCAGCAATTGCTATGTCATGTTATTTTCATGGCAGTTGTTTTTTTCTCACCATCTCTAATCAAACGTTGTTCTTCCAAATTATGCATCTTAATTTAGTCACACTTTAATTCTGGTCGTTTCAGGTTTTAAGAGACTGGCCACCGCCATAGTAATGTGGAATTTGCAGGCGGCTGAGTGGCTCCTGGGTTAGTGCTGTGACACGGCACTACTGAGTACATGGGTTAGAATACAGGTAGCCACCGATGATTAATCATTGTTTTCAAATGCAGTGAGTTGGTGCTTTTAGCCCGGTCATACATGACAGGACAACAAGCCTAAAATTATTCTTTTTTTTACTTAATATTCCCACGTTTCAATCTGTGAAATAGAAAAAAAATTTCAAATTAACTGACAAACAACCCTACCTCTATAAGCAGGGCACATGGGAGAGCCGTTTGAAGCCCGCTCGGAAGCTTTTCTGCGATATCACCTTCTGTGGGTCACAGAAGGTGATATCCTTCTGGGAGTGAATCGTTTGCCAAACTACCTCTGAGATCCCCTTCTGGTGACCTCTGCTGCATGTAACTTACTGTGGTGCTGCACAAGCACAAATAACAAACAAGAACTCATTAAATTTGTCGATAACGCTGCGTGACTTCAAAAGTGAAAAATATGCAACAGGCAACTCTACAGGCAATTTGCACATTTAAACAACAACATTAAAAAAACACGTGCTTGGAAGATGAGCCATAGGCAAAAACATCGGCAATTATAAATTTATCCCGTTAAGGCCACGCAGCGTTCTTGACGAACGTCTTGAGTTTTTCCCGCGATCGGTTTTGCACGGGACCACGGATCGTCTCAACGTGTTTGGTGGCGGCACTAACGCAGCACGTCCAGCACGAAGTCTTTGCTGGCCTCCCCTGCGCTGTTGCTCGCGATGCAGGTGTACCGCCCGGCCAGCCCAGCGTGCGCGTGCATCACCCGCAGCATGCGTCCGCCTGCGGAGCGGTCAGGGCGTACGGGGGACGAGGGTCAAAGGGGCAAAGGGTCACGCCGGGTTCAGCTACTCTTTGCGCAAGGCGTGACGGGCGGTTAAAGTATTTCAGTAACTGCGAATGAAAATTGCATGCTTAGACTCATACACGTAAAATAGAAATGAGTCTGATGTCCATATAAATAACCAGGATAAAGACTTCACCGGGTTTCTGATGTCCGACCGTTTCTATAATTGCCACGTATTAATGTCTGCAAAGTGCAGCAGATTAGGCCGGGTGGGCACTGGCGACACAGTGCGTGTGGCTCTTAATCGAAAAGTTGTCATTTCAAATCCTGTTATAGGGTCCCAACTCATATTTTGTTATTATGTGGGAGCCTCAGTACTGATGAAGTTATTCTACACGTACGTCATCGGAACAAGGAAAGGGTCAACGTTTCCAGTAACGAATGGCAGTTAAACTGAGCGGGCGGGGCACTCCCCGGTTGAGTGTTTCGCTTAGTACCGGAGAGCACCCTGATGTCGCTGCCCGGGGGAATGGGCTTGCGGTTGAAGAGCCAGGAGATGGACGGAGGTGGGATGCCCGACACCTCGCACGTCATGGCCACGGGGCTCCCCAGCACCACACTCACGTTCTCCGCCTCGCCGTCCCCGATTGATGGTGGCACTGAAATTCAAGGGTGCCACGGTGGCGAGATGTTAACTGCTTCGCCTGGTATACAGGAGATCAATCCTGACCCTGACATCTGTATATTTGGAGTTTGCACGTTCTCTCCGTGGTCACGTGGATTTTTCTCCGGGTCCTCTGGTTTTTCCTTCTGCATTTCGAAATGTGCGTATGGAGTATTTGGCAGCAAAAAAAAACTCCACATGATAAGCCACTTTCATTGAACTATCAAATGTGGCCAGGCACGATTCTGAAAAAGAGTTATATAGCTCAGTGGGCCTTACCTAGTAAGATAAACATAGTTATAGTTAAAACAACTAAACGAACCGGTGAGATAATGTTTTCCGTGTTGTGCACTGTTAATGGGAATTGAGAGGAATGGCAGCGCATGAACTGTCAAAAGTCTGGGGCGACCTCAACCCATCCTCGCTACACCCACTCCCCAAAACTCAGCCACCATGTATGTACGTTGAACTTCTTTTGCACCGTACGTAGCCAACCGTGTTAATTGAAGGTGAGGGGGAAAGACAACAAATTAAACACAAAAATCAGTATTCTTAGCTCTTTCAGTAAAGTCACGTTGAAGGGAAACGATAAAATAATAAAATATATATAAAACAATAAAAATTATCATGACGTTTGGCCGTCGTTGAGAACGACACACCTGATGACGACCGTTTGTGTTATGGTCGAAACGTCGTGAGAATTTTTATTTTTTATATATATTTTATTATTTTATTGTTTCCCTTCAACGTGACTTTACCGAAAGAGCTAAGAATATGAATTACTGCAGTCACGAAAGCTTTAAATCAAAACAAAAATCAGTTCTAAAGAAATAAGTTTGTCAATCTAGATGATTTAAAAATGCATAGCTCCAGTGGTTTTTTAATATCGGAAGGAAGAGCGTTCCAGACGGCCGCAGAAGCGCATCTGAAAGCATGCGATGCGGTGACCGTCTTTGTTCAATGGTTAGTCAAAAGCTGCTGCGAGGATGACCGGAGTTTGCGTGATTGAGACCGGAGTTCGTGTGATGGAATGGGAGTTGAACCCCAGGGGAATGGCAGTGCATGACCCTGTCACAGGTCAGGGGCCAACTAAACCTATTCCCCCACACCCAATCCCCTAACCCAGCCACCATGGCAATACTCCAGTGGCAAGAGCCAAAGATGTTGGTGGATTGACGGTGTGAGCCACCACAGTTAGGTGTGTTTGATTGATGAATAATTCACTTGTTAGGGATGTAATGGTTCACCCCTCACCCCTCAGGCCCCAGCCCTTGCCCTGGCAGTTTGATAAATTATTGCGATGCATTCAAGAATGGATTCTCTTATGTCACATTTTTGCTGTTTTTTATATCGCTTCTAATCTTATTGTCTCAATTCAGTTCCCTCCATTAGCCTCAATTGCAATATAATCTGCGTGAATGAAACACCTGAAATCCGACATGTGCATTATAATCAATATTAATCGGTGATTAAATTCAAACATCCACACAGAGGAAGACAAAAATAAATAATACATATATATTTAAAATCCATACAGGGAGGCCAGCGGCCTTTACCAATTCTACTGCCCAACTGCTGACAACCTTGCAGCTCCGCAAGCTTTGTTCGTCACACCCGGCGCACAATCCCTGCCACCTCTGCACGATCTGCCGCCCCCACGCCCCCACGTGGTCCCCCTCCTCACGGCCTCACCGTGCACGTTGAGGTCGAACTTGCGGTCGGCCTGTCCGGCCACATTGACGGCGATGCAGGTGTAGCGCCCCGTGTCGCCCACCTGGGCGCCATGGATCTGCAGGGTGCGGCCGTCGTTGAGAACGAAGGGGCCCCCGGCCGCCTCCTTGGCCATCGCCGCGGCCGCCGCCCCCGTTCCCGCGCCGCCCCTGCGGGCAGCGGCCGGGATGGGGCGGCCGTCCTTGAGCCAGCTGACGGCCGGACGGGGCAGGCCCTCGACGCGGCACTCGAGGGTCACGTCGCCCCCGCGCGACACCGTCACCTCCGTGGGACGCCCGCCGCTCTGCTGAATGCTCGGGCGCACTGCGGGGCAGCGTGCGGGGACGGAGAGGGGGGCGCACGCGTGTGATCGCGAGGGGTGGCGAGGTGGCAGCTCGTGCGCTTCAGGCAACAATACAAAAAAAAATCTGAATCTGTTATCTTAATCAGAATCCTGGAGGAATCAGACGAGCTATGAAGCTCTTTTTTCACAGTTGTCTAGTAGCGGATCGCCGGTCAAGAGTTTTCCTCTTGTCAACTCTGCCAAAATACGGTGGTGCGTGGTAGCATGGTCTTGTACCAGCGCTGGGGATATGAAAGGTCGCGCGAATCGCTCAGGGCTCACCGTACACCTGGAGAGAGAAGTCCCTCATGCTGGTGCCGGCCACGTTGGAGGCCACGCACGTGTAGGAGGCGGCGTCCGACGGCCTGGCGCTGCCGATCTGGAGGAGCCGCCCTCCAGACAGAACCCTCACACGGCCCTCCTGGTCACCCTCCAGGGGTTTACCTGGGGCGGATGGATAGAGACAGACGAAGACAAAGATGTACATTGAAACAGAGACTAAGATGAATTTGCACATGGAATGAATCATCATCATCACGATCCATGGGCAGATAGCTTCGTAGGTGTCCACTGCACGTTTTGCCATTTGCTTCCACTTCCCTCTCTGTCTTGTGCTAATAATGTCAAGTAGTGGCCACATTTTTCTGGCACCCATCTTTTGTGATGTCGTCCAGCCAATCTCTCTGAGGACTTCCTCTCTTTCCGGTTCCTTCCATTTTTTCCAAACAGCACACTTTAAATTTTCCTGTTGTTGTCAATCCTACTACATGTGTTTCCAAGCAGTGCCAGTTTCCTTCTCATCACTGCCTGCATCAGGTAAATTTGTTCAGGAATTCACCTGAACATCAAGGTCAAAAGGTCATAATAGCAAATGTGATTCATGCCACAACGCCGTTGCGTCCTTCCTTCTGCCAGAGTCCACAAGTGCTGTACAGTTGACACCAAACATCCAAGGTCTGCTCTGAGAGTGCCCCACTATCTGGTTATAGTTCTATAGATACAGTAATCTTGATTTATTATTCAGGAAAGCTTCCTTGGGTCTCAGGGTTATTTTTCAGGAGCGTCCTACATTGGAATGTTTGGCCATTTCTATTTTCAGAATTGCTTTGTATGTGGCAGGAAACTGGAGAACCCAGAAATAAACAATCAGAGATAACAATATTCAAATATCCGCACAGATGGGTTCACGAAGCCACCTTTGTGCTGCCATCTGCTGCCCACTTTACAGCCCTAGAGGGCTTGGGAGTCTCACAAATCGGCTTGATCAAGCAACGCTTGCCTCCAATGCACAAGATTACAAATGAGAGACACAAACGGAGGTGAAAATTGGCATCAAGAAAACATCAGAGAGATAAAACGATACAGAGAGAACGATGATAAAGCGACAATAAACAGATATGATGACATAAAATATAGACCAAGGTAGACCTAAAAGAGGCAAAGAGAGGCAATTACATTTGGAGAGGCAAATAAGGAGACAAAAACAAACCAAACATAAAGAGCCAGACATGTTACCACGTCCACCGTGAAAAAATAAGATTTTTTTCCGGCCCAGGTATGGCTCAGTTGCTTCCAGGATCAGCATCATGGCCTGCATCTGTGACACCAAACCCTCGTGAGCCACCAGGCTCGGCTCCTGCTCGTCAGCGAGCGGTCCTTGAGTGTTGAGTTTACGTTGATTTGTCACACAGATGATGGCTTCAATTAGCCGGTTGCCCGGCTATTTTATAAGGGATATTCGTGGTGCGTGAGCGGAGCAACAACGAAGCAAAGACAAACACATTGCAGAGAACGAGTACAGAGTACTTAAGGGACATTGCACAACAATGGTCCAGGAATCACGTCGCAAGGCACAGAGACTTCCCCACGGGATTCCCACGAGTCTGGCGGCGGGTGGCAAGAGGGAGCCACAGCGGCGAGATGTTAACTACCTCCCCTGCTATACAGGAGGTCGTGGTTTCGATCCCGACCCTGACGCCTATATATTTGGAGTTTGTGTGTCTCTCCCCGTGGTCACGTGGATTTTTCTTGGGGTTCTCCGGTTCTTCCCTCCACATTTAGAATCAACATCAGGCGTTAAGAGGATTTGGCTGCTGCTATACATTTCCACATGATAAGCCACTTCGTTGAGCTATCATTTGTGGCCAGGTCGCTTCTGAAAAAGAGCTACATAGCTCAACGGGCCTCGCCTGGTATATGAATATAAAATGTTGCAGTTCCCGCGCTCGCTCACCATTCTTTCTCCAGGAGAGCGCGGGCGGAGGGATGCCCGTCGACTCGCACACCAGGCTCATCATGTTGCCCTCGATGACGTTCAGCTGGCTGGGCTCCCCGGCGCCACGCACGCTCGGGGGGACTGCAGAGCGCCGAGCACAGGGGATGACACACGCAGAGCAGCCGCACGCACGCACGGTGAGCCTCAGCGCATACGCACAAGCGAGCGAGAGCGTGTGAGAGCGAGCGAGAGCGTGTGAGAGCGTGAGCGAGCGAGCACGTGCCTGCCATGGCGCCCGTCATCGTTACGTCCGTATGTCTCGAGTTGTCAACCCCTTTCCCATTGCGAGACGTCTGCAAGTTGCATTGTGGATCCCCGTTCACCGCCAAATCTCTGAACGCGTATTTGCGGCGCCAAACTGTGCCACACGCCCTCCCACATAGCCTTTTAAAGTACTTCCGATTCCGTTCTGATGACGTACGTGGAAAAGGGTTATGAATGAGAGCTAGGTCTCACCTGCTTAGGCCGCTGTGTGTGTGTGTTCGTGCTACTCCAGGGTCATGCCCAGCGGTAAATGTGCGTTCCACTTTTGTTCCGCGAATATGCCATTGTTAAACGCGTGCGTCGCATCATTGCTATGCAGTGCATAAGCGTCGCACGTGCGCTACGGCGGTCACGTGGCCTATAAGCGGTAGCGCGTCCCTTGCAGAGGTTCACGGTTCGAATCCAGCGGCCGCCCTGATTATTACTGCATTTGTAATAACCGGAATAAAACTACGCGCCGTCTGCTTCACCCACAGTGGGCGTTGCAGATCCCCTGACGCCTTTCACAAGAGCACGCCGTTGTGTGCTTGCATCAGGATACAAGTTTGCATCATTCGAAGGCGACGCCGCAAATTTATTTACTCAACTGGGATCATGCATTGCAACCATTGCCCCCTACTGCAGATTAACGCTTGAGGTTCACTGTTGTAAATGAGACCATCCTCGTCTCTTGAGTTCTCACCCGGCGAAACGAAGATAAACTAAATCACGTGACATCTGTTACAAATGAGTCGAGTGTGTGTGTGTGCCCTGCCGAAATATATCGTGCCACCGATAAGCACGCATGTCACACCAAAGCTAAATGCGTATGTGTGGGGAGCGGTAATGTAGCGGTTAGAACGCTGCGCTACGAACCCGGTGACACAAGTTAAATTCCCACTCATGGCCAACAGAGGTGACGAATATCTGAACTGGTCTTTGGCCTCCCCTAGATCGACTCGGCCTCAAGTGAGTACCTAGTGCAGTGTGTAAACTTCGCCAGTAGAGAGACAAAGGCGGCCGGGCATGGTGCTGGCCACCCACCCCCCTCCTGTGTTGTGTCGGCCTTCATGGGTGCTCGTTAACAGCACTTGCCCCTATAGTCTGCTAAGGCTATATGGGGGATCTTTGTCTCTGTCTCGTGTTCCGGGTGCCTGGGGTGAGTGGGGCGTGGGGGGCACGCACCCCACACGTTGACGTTGTAGTTCTTCTCCGTCTTGCCGGCCACGTTGGTTGCCTCGCACGTGTAGCGCCCCGTGTCCATCACCTGCGCGCTGTCGATCTGCCCGGGGGGAGCGGACGGAACGGGGTTATGAGCGACGCGTGACTGAGGATCCCCCCCCAGCTGACGTTCATTTGAATTTTTTGACTCCATGCGCACGCTTACCCCGTGAATTCTCCCTTGAAGGTTCAACGAATGCCTCGCCGAGTCTCAAGACTCGATTGCAGGAGCGACCTGCCAAGTTTTCGCCATGGGGGGGCAATTTCGCTTTGCACAATCCCAATTTCGTAATTTGCAGGTAGTTTATTTAGAAGTCGGGATGTTTTGGCCAACACCAGTTACTTTGTGTGGTATTTTTGTTTCTGTTCATCTCTGGGAGGAAACAGGAGGAGCCGGATGAAGCTGGTGTGCTGAATAGGGTGAGGACATACAAACTGCGTGCAAAAAGGCGGCAGAGTCGGGAATCGAACCCAGGCGCTTCCTGCTGGGAGGTTCAAAGCGTCACCACTGCGTCCACCCTGCCGCCGAAGCTCATAGTTTTTATTTGTGCACAATTGTGATGGGTGGCAACGGTCGATGGTGGAACGGTCAGTGGGGGTCTGAAGTGGCGGGGTTCATGCCGTGTTCATAGAAATTTGACCGAGAACCCTAGATTCAGTGAGGGGGTGCTGAGAGTTTAGCAGAGACACACCGTGAAATATCTCAGGAGCTAACGTTAATGCTGCAGTGCATTGAGCCAACGCGCCGGTGACGTGCCGCAACTGTTGTGCATCGCTGATTCACCTGACGCGACCTCCCCCTCTACCCGTGGGTCGTGCTGCTGGTCACCTGTAACGTGCCTCTTAACTGGTGTCCTCTTCAACTCTTCACCCTCGGTTTATGTTTCCACTGCAGTGCTCTAGAGAATTTGCTGTGTACCATTCACATTCCATGTCTATGCAAACTATAATTTTTTTGGTATTTTACCAGGTAAAGCCCACTGAGCTATGTGGCTCTTTTTCAGAAGCGACCTGGTCACACGATAGCTCAACGAAGTGGCTTATCACGTGAAAATGTATTGCAACCAAACACTCGAAACGCGTATTGATTCTAAACGTGAAGGGAAAAACTGGAGACCTCGGAGAAAAATCCACACGACTCCGGGGAGAACACGCAAAACTCCAAATATACAACAGGTGTCAGGGTCAGGATCAAACCCACGACCTCCTGTGTACCAGGCGAGGCAGTTAACATCTCGCAGGCGAGTGGCACGCCTTGGGCGTGCCGCGCTCCTCGCCTTCCCATCTGCGGCGAGCAGCACCCGGTGCTATTCCCCGTTCATGCGCGGGGCTCACCTGCACCGTGCTGCCGTCCTCGGACACGGTGAGGCCGGGCTTCTTGAGCAGGGGCCGCCCGTCCTTGAGCCACGTGAGCGTGGGCGGCGGGATGGCGTTGCTGCGGCACTCCATGCGCACCGGCTGGTTCAGCACCACCGACACGTTCTGCTCCTCGCCCATGATGTTGGGCGGCACTGGGGCGGCAGGGGCAAAACAAAAGCGGGTTTAGCTAACGAGGTGAAGGAGCGCACGGATTAGCGCAGGCGAGGAAAGCCGGGACGAATGGTCGGTCCGGGAGTGGGTGCCTGTGTCTGGGAGTGGGTGTCTGCGTCTGGGAGTGGGTGTCTGTGTCTAGGAGTGGGTGTCTGTGTCTAGGAGTGGGTGTCTGGGAGTGGGTGTCTGTGTCTGGGAGTGGGTGTCTGTGTCTGGGAGTGGGTGTCTGTGTCTGGGAGTGGGTGTCTGTGTCTGGGAGTGGGTGTCTGGGAGTGGGTGTCTGTGTCTAGGAGTGGGTGTCTGTGTCTGGGAGTGGGTGTCTGTGTCTGGGAGTGGGTGTCTGTGTCTGGGAGTGGGTGTCTGTGTCTAGGAGTGGGTGTCTGTGTCTAGGAGTGGGTGTCTGGGAGTGGGTGTCTGTGTCTGGGAGTGGGTGTCTGGGTGTGGATGTCTGTGTCTGAGCGATGCTCACAAGAATGAGCGGAGCGCCGGGCGGCTAAAACACAGCAAGTTGGCATAGTAGGGGGCACAGGTGGTACAATGGCCAGTAATCTCAGTCGGTCAACCCATGGCACCTGGGTCTGTCCGGTGACCGCCTGCCAGCGGGCGTTCAACACTTCACGCGGCCTTAAAGTGAAACTAGCCTGGCACCATCAACGTGGTGACGCCATCGGCCCTTAGTGGCGAATGGCGGTTGTTGTTGTATCGCACCGTAGATTCGCAGATCGATGTCTCTCTGTTCCTCTCCGGCAGCATTGATCGCCACACATGTGTAGCGGCCGGTGTCCGATATCTGAGCACTGGACAAGGCCAGGATCCTCCCTCCTGACAGGATCTGTTCCATTGGCAACAACATCATCATCATCATCATCGTCAACACTGTCCTCATCATCATCCACATCAATGCTATAATCATCACCGCCACTTTCATCACCAGCATCATCATCTCTGCCATCAGAAATGATGATGATGATGATGTCCTGTGTCTAACCTCGAATAAAGAATTTCAGATGCTATATATTTCCAGCCAGACGGAAATTATGTTAGATCATCATCAGTCATGCTCAATCCACTGCTGGATGACAGCCTCTCCATTGCTGTCCCCACTGCTCATGGTCCGTCAACGTAAACAACGCATAAATGCACCCTGCACCCGCGCACGACGTACACGAGGTTATACGGGTAAGTTTACATCCCAACGAGTCGCGCTGCGGTTCCACCAGAACACTGCCCGAGCGTGGAGACGACTGCCGGGGGGGGTGGGGGGGGGGCTGACCACCTGCATGCCGTTGGAGGTGAGCGGGGAGATGGGGCTCCCGTCCTTGAGCCAGGTGAGCGTGGGTGCGGGGATGCCCCTGGCTTCGCACTCCACCCTCACGGGGTTGTTCACCACCACCGCCACCGTGTCCGTGCCTCCCGCGATGCTCGGGGGAACTGCGCGGTGCACAAAGAACAAGGGGCGTGCGAGCTGAACGAACGAACGAACTTACGCGTGCGCACGGGCGGGACAAGCTCAGCGCGTCGCTTCAACCCGGACGTTCCCGGAACGCTGTTCCCGGGAAATTTACTTTGCCACCCGTTGTCCGTCCGTCGTTATTTTGCGGTGTGTGCGGTGGCGTGCCGTAACAAAAATGTCCACTGTGCAAAGAACAGTGCTTCAATGTCACCTCATTGTCCTGAAGACAAAATGTCTTTAAATACAGTAAGTCCTCCATATTAGTTGGGCATGCGTTCCTGGAACGCGCGACATGAGGTCAAACAACATTAATCGAAAACTTATTTTACCGTTGACCGAATGACATAAATTTCGGATACGTTCGTTGGGGTAATTTTTTGGTAAAAAAAATCTCTGAAAAATATATACGTTAAATAAGTACCAAAAAAGCTAAAGATACCCCAAAAAGATATCATATACCAAGTGTAAATATGATATAGATTGATGCGGTGAAGATTGCTTTTGTCGGGTAGCACAGTATCCGGTATGGGGCGACGTTGTAAACACTGAGGCTTGAGTGATCACGAGGGGGCGCCGGGGCGCAGTGCGTCGTCACGCACGCTGCCCAAACTCCACCGAGAAACGAACAAACCAGGTCCGTATGTCCAGTTGCCGGTTCGGACCGAAAGTCGTGAGTTCAACAGCCGCGCAATAGAAGGCGGTGGTGGCGTCAACATCTGCAGAACGTGAAGAACCGGTGGCATCTACGTCTGATGCGCAAACTCCAGCAAATTGCGCAATTTCAGTTGGCGGTGGGACGTTCTCAAAGGAATGGCGCTGACCCCGTGTCCACCCCCCACCCTCCCCTGTGACCCGTGGACCAAACAAATCACTGGAGACGCCGGTATACGGCAGCGAGGGACAGTGAATGCAAGTGCTGTGCGCGATGAATGAATTTTCTTTGGACGCCTCATCCGCGGCGACGTCAGCGCTCGTTTGGACGAGGCCGTGTGCGCCACCCACCGTGGACCTGCAGGCTGTGCATGAGCTCGGTTCGGCCCGCCACGTTGGTGGCCAGGCAGGTGTAGCGGCCCGTGTCGGCCACCTGGGCGCTCTCCAGACGGAGCACGCGGCCGCGGGACAGCAGCGCCACGCCTGGCGGGGGCGTCCCCTGCCCGGCGCCGGCGATGGCCCGCCCGTCCTTCTGCCACGACACCACTGTGTGGACAAACGCGTACGCAATGTTCGTGCAAGGACGACGATTGCCCCCCCCACCCCCCCTCCCCCCCGTATAGCCTTGAGCAGGCTGTTGGGGCAAGTGATGTCAGCGAGCACCTATGAAACTAAACTATTTTTTTTTACCAGGTAAGGCCCACTGAGCTATGTAGCTCTTTTCAAAAGCGACCTGGCCACAAATGATAGCTCAACGAAGTGGCTTACCATGTGGAAAATTAAAGCAGCCAAACACTCTATGAAGGCCAGCATAGCACACGAGGGGGTGGGTAGCCAGCACCACGCCCGGCAGCCTTTGTCTCCCCAGTGGTCATGTTTACACACGTCGCACCGGGTACTCATTTGACGCCGAGTCGATCTAGTGGAATCTCAGGAATGAATCAGATAATTGTCACTGGTGTTGAGCGGGTGGCCAGGTTCGTAGCGCAGTGCACTAACAGCTACACCACTGCTCACCACACACGCACACTACACTACCGCTTACACACACAGACACACACAGACACGGATTCAAATGCACAAAAATGACAGATAGTAACTTGAAGTTATGGCCTTGTCGCAATGGGCAATATTTTCTGAATCGGCTTAAAACCATGATTGAATTGAATGCCACTTGCTGAGCAAGAATGGCACTCAGAAATAGGTGAGAGCGGAGAAGCTTTTCACGTTAAAAGTCGAGTGAAGTAAAAGTGTCTACCTGCTCAAACGAGCATGGGGCGAGGCTTGGCCCCAATGTATGAACGTAAGTTGAACTTCTTTCACATCGTATGTCTCCGAGCCAGTGTTGGAAAATCAAGTGGTACTAATTGATTGACCCGCCCCCATCAAATGAAGAATATTAAATAGGCTCTGCTACTGGCTCTCGTGCCTCGATGTTGAGGAGGCAAGCAGAGACGGTGGCGAGTTGTTAACTACCTCGCCTGGTCGATAGGAGGTCGTGGGTTTGATCCTCACCCTGATGCCTACTGTATATTTGGAGTTTGCATGTTCTCCCCGTGGTTGCATGGATTGTCCTCCGGGTCATCCGTTTTTTCCCTCCACATTTATAATCAACATCACGCGCTTAGAGTATTTGACTGCTACAGATTTGCACACGATGATAAGACACTTCATTGAGCTATCATTTGTGGCCAGGTCGCTTCTGAAAAAGAGCCACATAGCTCAGTGGGCCCTACCTGGTAAAAATAAAAATGATAGTTTAGCTTTTAGCCTAGAGACAGGTGAAGGTGAAGCACCTGGAGTGGGGCTGCCGCTCGCCACGCATTCCATCTCCACTGGGTTGTTCACGATCACAGTGGTGTTGTGGCGCACGCCGCTGCCCTCGATGCTCGGAGGCTCTGGGATGCAAACGCAAAAGGCCCCCAGTGAAGCCCGACCGGGAAACGGACACCGGCAAAGGAAATGGAACAAAAAAGTCGAAAAGTGCACAAAAAAGTGTGTGGTGAGATGCGTGGTTGGGATAACATTGAGAGACCAGAAGGGGAGCACGTGGATCAGGGAGCAAACACATTCTATAAATCGTATTGCTACGGAACGTCAGCTTGGGCAGGACACAAGGTGGCAGAGCTAGATCAGGGAACAAACATCATTGAAATCATACCGACTATTTTGGGATGTCAGCTTGAGTAGGACACCTTGCTATGAGAAATGAGGGTCGATGGACGAGGCGTGATAGAATGGCAGCCCAAGGACATTCGACACCCGAAAGGATGACCATCGTAGAGATGGAAAAAATATATTGGCAAATGTGCAGGGGTGAGATGGATCGTGGAATCGTGGGACGACATGAGGGGGCCTTCATTCAGCAGTGAATGAGATCAGGGCTGATGATGAACGTGATGTACATGACCAGGAATTTAACTTGGGCCTGTCGTTTAGATTAACCCAATAAAATAACCATACGCACTCACAGCTCAAATTTTGCAAAGGGTAGCGCTCAGACGCTGTGGACATTCCACATTCCTATGGTAAAAAGATGTCTCTCCAAAAGGACAACCACTCTTGACCTCTCCCCACATCAACCACAGAGGGCTGATCGGCTGAGTCGACGCCCGACCAGGATTTGAACTTTGTGATTGCGAGTTGCACACTATTGGATTAACTTTCCAGTGTAGATATGTACAGTAGGGGATTTGGCAGTGCAGCGATTATTATTGCAGTGAATATTGGAAGGCTGAGAATTCAAATCCTCATTGGAGGGCCACATTTTGGGATAAGTCAACACAGATCTATGGATTTAAGTGACTGGTCCTTACCATAGGACTGTGGAATGTATACACTTGGCTTAGGGCTGCCAGTTGAGAGGGGCATGATCCGATTGATCAATTAAACGTGGAGGGAGACTTTGACTTTTGTCTGCGAGTGTACAAATATATAAGCAGCCCTTGTCACCACCCGTGCCCTTCCCCAATTCGCGTGTGTTGATGTCGCCGTGAGACTAAAATATAGAGCTTACTTCCACCTGTACCTCATTTATTCCGGAGTCTGCTCCTCTCATTATATTTCCACTGTTTTTTTATTCGCGTGCATGTCATTGACGACCGCTAAACACCTCTTTGCCGTGCGATATTAATTGAGGGCCCCTCCGTACTCGCTCTCTGCAACATTGAAGATTGTTTTGTCTGTTGCCGTCGCTGCAGCTGCTGCTGCTGCTGTGCTTGGGCAGCACCGCGAATATCCCTTGAACCTCGCGACCATGCCAACAACGGGACCATCGTCGGCATCACAAACAAAACACGAAACTCAACGCTCAAAACTCTCAGAAAAAAACCCACCCCCCACCTCGGGGGCCAGTGAGAGAGGGCCACAGAAAAAGGAGAGAAAGCGGGGGGCACCCCACTTACCGTGAACGTGCAGGCGCACCCCCTGCTGCGCCTCCCCGGCCGCGCTGGTGGCCACGCAGGTGTAGCGGCCGGCGTCCTCGCGCGCGGCCCCGCTCACCTGCAGCATGCGCCCGCCACCCTCCACCTGCAGCGGACGCGGCGGTGGGGGGGGGCGGGGCGAGAGCAGCGCGGTTCGAGAAGGGACAACTCCACGCTGCGGCTACGTCAAGGAGCGTAAACCGTCGTGACGCGCGGACTCCGGTCGTCCTGCCCGTCGAACAGCGATGGTCACCGCACCGTCGCGCGGCGCTTTCAGACGCGCTTCTGTGGCCGCCTGGAACGCTCTTCCTTCCGATGTTAGGGGAGCCACTGGGGCCACGCACGTTTTAATTCATCGAGGTTGAAACCTCATTGCTTTGGGAACAGTTTTTCGTGTTTAGTTTGTTCTCCTTCCCCCGGCACCTCCAATTAGCGCGGTTGTCTACGTACGGCCGCGGAAGACGTTCAACGAACGTACGCGGTTCGCACTCCGTGGCGCGACACCCACCGTCACGGACGAGCGGCTCGTTGACCGAACCCACACACAAGAACCCCCGGGGGTACAACCCCTAACCCAGCAAACGGTGGTCAGCCCGGGATCGCTACAGAAGAGGGCAACGGCAGATACGGTCATCTGCGTCGCCGCCGATGAACTGTTGGCCGTGCAACTGCTCTTGTCCCCAATTCACAGGCCATGGGTCACGTACATCCAACAACCGCCCCCCCCCGCCCCGATTTAGAACTCACAATCCTCTAAACGCAGTGCTGCCCTGGTCAGAGTATCGTGTGATCCCGAGGTCTGTGAATCGGCTTTGCCAGGGGGGCAGTGCTGGATAATGCGATCCATGGTCTGACTTTGGTGACCTCAGCAGTCAGCATTGCCAACTTTTATTCATTTTCCAGCGATGCGTGGCTCCGTTTAAATAAGATATCACCCACTGCTCAACTTTCCGCTCAATAATAGGCAACAGTGCAACGTGATACCACTGGTATTTCATTCATTAAGATGTTTCACATTAACTCAAACTTCTAAAAGAGAAACCGTATATGCGCGGGTGTGTCTGGATGTGTGCGCGTAGTGTGTCTATACAAAGGAATATTTTTTTGTTCCGACACGAACCAGCACTTCAAATCAAACATGCAAAGAGCATCTGGCTCACACAAATTGCCTTTCCTTTTCTTCAACATGACCGCCAAAAATGCAATCTATGCATTTTTTTCAAACAGTGTGTGCAGTTATTGCCATGAGTGGAAACACAACTCAACGTCACCGCGCGTTATATTCAAATCGCTATGAAAAATAACACCGCGCGTGTCATGGCAACGGAACAAAAGGGCGTTGCCGAATGCACAGGCCGCGGTTAAAGTGGACGTCAGTAACTTACACCATTTCAGATCCGTCAACGATGGAATTTTGCTGTCGAGCTTTGAAAATCCCTTTGCTCGAGCACATTCTCCGGCTGTGTTCGCCATCGAGCACACGCGGACTCCTATCCGGCACTTCGGAAGTGGGGGTTGGTGGATCGTGCAGGGATAATTTTTGTTCTTGACACAGCTGATTGAAGGAGGGCGATGTGCCTGCAGGAGGCGGCGGTGTGTTGCTACCCTATCAGGGTGGATCTGGAAGGGCCACATTGAATAGTGCGTGTGAAGCATCATCACTGTCTTTCAAAGACCTCTTCCATCCTAGCAGCAGCCTGGCCCCCAGTCACATGACCCAGTCACATGACCCACATTGCACCAATGAAGCTCACAACCTCCTTCAGCGCGTACTTCACCAACAAGCTTGCCACTGTCGGCAAAACCATCGGGGGCCCCCTCAAACTTTACCCAAACCCCTTTCACACCCCGGGCCCCCCCCCTGCCCCCCCCCCCCCTTGACTCCGACGACTACATCCATACGTCCCTGTACAGGCCCATGCTGCCAAAGGATGTACAGTGAGGGAAAAAAAGTATTTGATCCCCTGCTGATTTTGTACGTTTGCCCACTGACAAAGAAATTATCAGTCTATAACTTTAATGGTAGGTTTATTTGAACAGTGAGAGACGGAATAACAACAACAAAAAATCCAGAAAAACGCATTTGGGGGTGTTTTTCTGCTAGGGGGACAGGACAACTTCACCGCATCAAAGGGACGATGGACAGGGCCATGTACTGTCAAATCTTGGGTGAGAACCTCCTTCCCTCAGCCAGGGCATTGAAAATGGGTCGTGGATGGGTATTCCAGCATGACAATGACCCAAAACAAACGGCCAAGGCAACAAAGGAGTGGCTCAAGAAAAAGCACATTAAGGTCCTGGAGTGGCCTAGCCAGTCTTCAGACCTTAATCCCATAGAAAATCTGTGGAGGGAGCTGAAGGTTCGAGTTGCCAAACGTCAGCCTCGAAACCTTAATGACTTGGAGAAGATCTGCAAAGAGGAGTGGGACAAATTTCCTCCTGAGATGTGTGCAAACCTGGTGGCCAACTACAAGAAACGTCTGACCTCTGTGATTGCCAACAAGAGTTTTGCCACCAAGTACTAAGTCATGTTTTGCAGAGGGGTCAAATACTTATTTCCCTCATTAAAATGCAAATCAATTTATAACATTTTTGACATGCGTTTTTCTGGATTTTGTTTTTGTTATTCTGTCTCTCACTGTTCAAATAAACTACCATTAAAATTATAAATTGATCATTTATTTGTCAGTGGGCAAACGTACAAAATAAGCAGGGGATCAAATACTTTTTTCCCTCACTGTACCTATTCTGTTATTCCCTAGCTGTTGCACACAAGTCAGAGGCTTCGGTATCATGAGAAATAAGTGAAATTCAAAACCATAGTGCCCTCGAGTGATGTTGCGTACGTATGCATGTTGAAATTCTTCCGCACCGCCAACCGTGCGAATCGGAGGTCCAAGCACCGTTGGGTTCCTTGACCTCCCTTCGCGAGGTGGGAGCCGCGATTCCTGGCTACGTCGCGACTGCACTGCGACGTGTGTGGCAGGGTGGACGTTGCGCCGGGTTCGTCCATGAATCCCAGCGTGCAGAGGGACATTTGAAGCCCGTGCTCGCGTCATACCATCCCCTCGCTGCAAGCCGGGATTTTAGAAGTGAATCGGCAAATTTTACCTTTACAGAATCGGATTACAACTTTAGCATCGCCTTGGATATCTAGACGTATGTTTTGATAAATTAGTAAAAAAATATATTAAAGCACAGCACTTAATTCGGATCCAATGGCTCCTGAAAATTTAGAAAACCCATCACAACGGGAACTTCCTTCACATCTCCAGACAACCGCACGGACACGGTGCACGCATGTGACACTTTAATTCGTTTGGCTGTTCCGGGTCGCGAAGGGTCTTTGCGACGCAAACCTGTTCGGATCCTTGCGTGGCCAAAAACGCGAAAGGTCAATAATGGATCATAACACTGCCTGGCGGAACCTGCGCGTCAAGCTTACGCACCAGGCAGTACCACACCGGCAGTTCGCTACCTTGACGTTCGCCCCCGCCGTCGTTCCGACGGGGCGGCCGTCCTTGAGCCAGGACACCTGTGGCGTGGGGATGCCGCTGGACACGCACTGCAGGGTGATGGACTTGCCCAGCACGACGGCTCGCTCGCTCGGCCCCATCACGCGGATCGTGGGCGGCACTGCACGGCACAGCAACAACGCGCGACGCCTCAGAGTCGCGGCACGAGGTGGTGCAGAGACGTACCGATGAAAGTCCCACGGTCCCACGTCACGGCGGGGAGCAAGCACGGGAGATGGCACCGCAGAACTGCTGCCGCGCTAATTTTCACTCGGCCTATCGCTTTTTTAATGCTCGTTCGCTCCACAGGATGCCTGCTTTTGACTTCTCACAAAGCGATGTTTTTTTTTTTTAGCACCATGAGGAGCTGGATACAAAATAAATAGCAAATCAAGATCTCCAGCTTGTCATGGCCGATGCCACTGAGGTCACACCTCTTGAATATTTCCTTCCTTTGGCCAGATTCTACAACTGTTGCAAAGTTGACTCCAAATCCCTAGTGTCTGGCTTCAGATGAATATAACTCAATATTCCGAACAACAATGCAGTTAATGTGAATCCAACTTTTAAGAAACGTTGAATGTAAAACAGCGGTGGAAAATCCAAGGGTAGGTGAGGGGGAGAAGGCAGCGATCCCCCTCCCTCCCCTCAAAACCCCAAATATCGGTGTCTTATTGATATTTTACTCGAGAAGATACATTTATAGAATTGTTTTAATTAATGTACGGCTCAATTAAAAAAGTGTCAAATTTTGGGACAGCGCCCCTCCCGTCCCTGGTGACTTTCTAGATCCGCCTCCGATGACAGAATGAGCGGCAACGTGATCTGCTGCCGTCAGTCGTGCATTCTGCTCGAGCTCTTGCCCCCCGATTGCATTCCATAAAAGCCTGCGATGCCCGTCGCTTAATTATCGCTGGTGTTAAATATCATGACATTGCCCATCCCTCCTCTTCCCCATCCCGCTCCCTAGACTCCCTTACTTAAGATCCTCTTCCCCCACCTTCCCCCCCCCCCCCCCACATGAAAGCACACACACCCCGCTCGCGGCCCCAATCTACCCCCTCCTCGAAACTCAGGAGCACAGAGTTCGAGACTTTTGTCCGTGGAGTTTCTGTAGCCCCCACCGCCCTCCCCGCCCCCACATCACGGTTCGTGCTCTGTACCGGGCTCCTGCTGAAATATAACAAAAACTAAATAACAAAAAATAATAACATTGACTTGGCTATGACATATTCCTTGTGTCTTTCGGTAAAGTCACGAAAGCTTTAAGTCGAGATTTTGCTGTGACAATTTAGAAGAGGGGGCAGTTGAGCCTTCAGCAGGGAAGGCCCGAGACGCACCCCAGTCACCCCATCCCACCGCAACCTGCAATCGTCCCCGGCTCACCCATGACGGTGACGTCGAACTCCCTGCGGTCGTCCCCGGCCTCGTTGGAGGCCACGCAGGCGTAGCGGCCGGTGTCGGCCACCTGGGCGCGCGGCACCGTGAGCCTGCGTCCGTCGGCCGACGCGCGGGCTCCCTCGCCCTCCTTGAGGGGCCGCCCGTCCTTCAGCCACCTGCTCAGGCGAGGCCGCAACCACGACGTCACGAGGCGTAGTCTCTAAGTTTCGGGCCACTGATCGATTCCTTTCATCGTTTGGTCTCAGACACCGACAGAAAAATGAGCGTCCCCCTCATGCATTAAGTGGCAGCATCTTTAAAACCCAGTTGATCTCAAACGGGGGACGCCTTAAGGACATCGGTCCAATGCGTTGAATCGAATGACACCACGAAACCATAAGCGATTGCGTAGCTGTCAATTGTGCAGGCACTGCAACTGCACTGGAACCCATGGGCCGGAGGAGTTTCAGGCGCCGGGCTACAAAGAGATGATGAAATCGGCCAGGAAGGGCATCCTCCCCGCCCCACCGCCACCCCCAATGCATCCGTCGCCACAGGGCCCGTGCCAACCGCGCCGTGTGTAGCTGTGCGAGCCTCACGTGATCCGGGGCTCGGGGGTGCCGCTCGCCTGGCACTCGAGCTCCAGCGGAGAGCCGACGACCACGCTGTTCTCGCCGCCCTCGTCTCCTCCCGTCAGCGTGGGCGGCACTGTCGCGGTCACCGCACGGCGTTAACAAGCGGTGCGGAGAGAAGTACTTAGACGTCCCGGTGGCCCGGGGAAAGGAGCCATCCTTGGCCACCTTCCGAATTCCACCCCCCCCTTCCCCTCCACCACCCCCACCCCCCACCTCTGTTAGCGAGCACCTATGAAGGCCGCCACGGCACACGAGGGGGCCAACACCACGCCCGACCGCCTTTGTCTCCCCAGTGGCGATGTCTTTAAACATTGCACCAGGTACTCAACTGAGGCTGCGTCGACCTAGGGGAGGCGCCAGGACCGGTTCAGAAAATCGTAACTCAGGTCGCCGGGTTCACAACGCAGCGCAATAACCGCTACAAAGACAAAGATTTCCCGTGTAGCCTTAACAGAGTGTTGAGGCAAGTGCTGTTAGCGAGCATCTATGAAGGCTGGCATGGCACACGAGGGGGTGGGTGGCTAACACCACGCCCGGCCACCTTTGTCTCCCTAGTGGCGATGTTTACTACACATTGCCCTAGGTACACATTTGAGGCTGAGTCGACCTAGGGGAGGCCCTGGACTGGTTCAGATAATCGTCACTGGTGTCGGCCGCGAGCGGGAATCGAAGTCGGTCTGCCGGGTTCATATCGCAGCGTAGCGCTAGCCCGCTACACCACCGCACGCACACAAACGCACGCACACAAATGCACGCACACAAACGCACGCTACACCACCGCACGCACACCACCGCACGCACACCACCGCACGCACACAAACGCACGCACACAAACGCACGCACACCACCGCAAGCACACCACCGCACGCACACAAACGCACGCTACACCACCGCACGCACACAAACGCACGCACACAAACACACGCACACCACCACACGCACACCACCACACGCACACCACCACACGCACACCACTGCACGCACACCACCACACGCACACAAATGCACGCACACCACCACACGCACACAAACGCACGCACACCACTACACGCACACAAACGCACGCTACACCACCGCACGCACACAAACACACGCACACAAACACACGCACACCACCACACGCACACCACCACACACACACAAACACACGCACACAAACACACGCACACCAACACACGCACACCACCACACGCACACCACACGCCCGCGCGCTTTGTACCGAGCACGTCGACGTCGTAAGGCCTCTCCTGCCGTCCGGCGGCGCTGCTCGCGACGCACACGTATCGGCCCCCGTCGCCCTCCCCGGCGCTCGCCACCTCCAGCCTGCGGCCTGCCAGGGTGATGAGCACGCCGTCCCCGCCGCCCGGCGGCAGGGCCACGCCGTCCTTGAGCCACGCGATGGTGGGCGCGGGGTGGCCGGCCGCCTCGCACTCCAGCACCAGCGGGCGACCCAACACCACCTTCTTCTTCTCGGGACGGTCGCCCTCGCCAGAAATGGACGGTGGCACTGCAGGGGTGGCCGTGGGGGGGGGGGGGGAATGAGACGGAGCGTTGGGGGTGGTTTACCAGCACGGTGGGCCTTACGTACGGTGCGAAAGAAGTTCAACATACATACAAGTGAATTATTTGTCAATCGGTTAATTCTAATTTAATCACACCTAAATGTGGTGGCTCAGACCTTCAATCCACCAACATCTGCGGCTTTTGCCACTGGAGCCCCGACACCCATTTGTGTAAAACACTCCTGGGTGTATTAAAGCGTTGTTATTATCCGCATGCTACTTTAACACGTGCGCAATCTACACAGGGATTACCATGGTGGTTCGTTTGGGGGAGTGGGTGAGGGGTAATGGGTTGAGTTGGCCCCTGACCTGTGTCAGCTCCCCTGGGGTTCAACTCCCATTCCATCACGCAAACTCCGGTCATCCTTGCAGCAGCGGCTTTTGGCTTGCCATTGAACAAAGACGGTCTTTGCACCGCGTGCTTTCAGGTGCGTTCCTGCGGCCGTCTGGAATGCTTTTCCAAGCCACTGGAGCTATGCACTTTTAAATAATCTACATTGAAAACTGAATTCTTTAGAACTGATTTTTGTGTTTAGTTTGTTGTCCTTCCCCCCGCACCTCTGATCATCCACGGCTGGCTACATACGGTGTGAAAGAAGTTCAACATACATGCATGCACGCACAAGCTCAAGGAACCTCGTTAATGTTAAGTGTCTGCATGGACACGCGCAGCCCTTTGTAGATCCACGGCTGGATGAGGGGATCCCTACGCCGAAGGTGCAGTGGGGTTTGTGTGGGCCCGATTGCACCACGCTGATCACAGTGCGGGTCCGTGATGGACAGAAACACAGACGTGGGAGTGTAGAAGTACAGTACAACAGTGGATTTTGCTGCGCTGCTCTCTGCCACCCGACATAGCCAGCAGGTGCCGATATCACCTACCGTGCATGGTAGATGAATTGTTGTAGTAGATAAAATCGATTTCCTAACGTTTACCCAGGAAAGCCTCATTGAGTCTAAAGAGACACTCTTCGGAGGGTTAAGCATCGGAATGATTGGGCACTTCCATTAATGGGTATTGGCATCATCTAGAAGGAAACCATGGAGATGTTAACTATCTCGCCAGGTATACAGGGGTCGTGGGTTCGATCCGGACACTGTCGCCTGCTGTATATTTGGAGTTGGCACGTTCTCCCCGTGGTCGCGTGGATTTTAGATTTTTCTCTGGGTCTTCAAGTTTTTCCCTCCACATTAAGAATCAACGTCACACGTTTACAGCATTCGGCTGCTATAAATTTCCACGTGACGACAAGCCACTTCGTTGGAGCTATAATTTGTGACGACCAAGTCGCTTCTCAAAAACAGCCTTATACAGCTCAGCAGGGCCTTACCCGGTAAAATTAAAAGATAGTTTTAGAGTTTTCGCCGCGAGTGGCCTCACCATGCACGTCCAGGTCGTAGTTCTTCTCGGCGCTGCCCGCCGCGCTGACGGCGCGGCACGTGTAGCGCCCGGCGTGCGCCACTCGCGCCCGCGGGATCCTGAGGAAGCGGCCGCGCTCCACGTACGCGTGCTCGGGCCCCGAGGGCCCAAGGGGGCGGCCGTCCCGCAGCCAGGTGACGGCCGGCAGGGGCACGCCGCGAGCCTCGCACTCGAGCAGCGCCGTCGCGTCCAGCAGCACCGTCGCGTCGCTCGTGCCGTCGTCGGCGCCGCGGATGCTCGGGGGAACTGATTGCACGCGGGGGGTGGGGGGGGGTGGGGGGGGGGTAGTGGTGTGGGGGGTGTCGGGAGGTTGGGGGGCGGGGAGGCATTGGCGGGCGGCAAGATGCAACATATGAGACGTCGCGGCAGTGGCTCAGTGGGTCGGCGTGTTGCCCGGCAACCCGATGGACTGTCGCTCACGGCCACCAAAAGCCACTGACGGTTTGTCTGCACCACCGGTCCCGGGCCTCACCGTAGGTCGACTCGGCCTCGAACGAGTGCCTGATGCGATGCGTGCAAATTGCAATTTGGGAAAAAAAGGCGGTCGGGCGTGGTGCTGGCCACCTACCGCCTCGCGTGCCGTGCCGGCCTTCATGGGTGTATGAAAGGAGCAGTAGTGTTGCGGTAAGCGCATCGCGCTACGAACCTGGTGACCCGAGATCTCCCTCGCCTGGTATGCAGGAGGTCGTGGATGCGATCCAGACTCTGATGCCTGTTGTATATTTGAATGTGTATTTTTCTCCGGGTCCTCCGGTTTTTTCCCCCGCCAAATTTAGAATCAACACACATTCAGAGTATTTGGCTGCTGCCATTCCTTTCCCGCCCGAGAAGCCACTTCGTTGAGCTATCATTTGTGACCTGCCAGGTCGCTTTTCAAAAAGAGCTATACAACTCAAGAGCGGGCTTTACCTGGTAAAATATTTCAAAATAGTTTTTTTAGTTTTTCGCTTCGTCGAGAGACTCACCGTACACGGAGAGCTTGAACTCCCTGGTCTGCTTGCCGGCGGGGTTGGATGCCGCACACGTGAACTGCCCCTGGTCCGACAGACGAGCTGCCTTTATCCGCAGCAGCTGGCCCTTCCTGCTCAGCTCCAGGTTCAGGTCGTTCGCCCCCAACAGCCTGCGGAGGAACGACAGACGAACAAACAATAAAAGCGGCCTTTGTACGTGCAGCGAGCTGCCAGAAATGGCCTCAGCCCATTCCACGTTGGTGTTGTATGCATGTTTGGGGTTACTTCCACATGATCCCTTTGGATTTGTATGCTTTATTTATAAATACAATTACAGCCCGATTGGCATGACACAGAATCATATGTAACTGAGAAAAAATAGACAGGCATCAGGGTTGGGATCGAACCCACGACCTCCTGTATACAAGGGGAGGTAGTTAACAACTCGTCACCATGGCGCCCTATATTAAGTCTTTGCAAAGTCATCCGACGCAAATCATGCAAAGCAAAATTTGACGCTCTGCCCACGTAAGGAATTTCCGGACGCCAATTTGCCCTGCGACATGACTGACGGCGCAATTGCCATTCGACTGAGGACACACGATTTGCAACAATTGCTATCCCCACTTTTCCCTTCACGGTTGTCACTACCCCGGCCACCCGTGCCACTTACTTGCCATCCTTATACCACTGTATCAGCGGGGCGGGTACACCGCTGGTCTTGCACTCCAGTGTGATCCCGTTGTTTAAGACCACGTTGAGGTCCTGGGGGACGCCGGAGCCCTGGATGCTCGGTGGCACTGGAAAAAAACAGGGGGGAGGACAATGGGACGTCAGGCACCACCGACAACAGGTCGGTGGGCCGCATGGAAATCGTTACGTGCTGTGCTCGACTTACAGGCGGCTAGGCCGTCATGAGGAGGGCAGAAAAGTGCCGGAGTACGGCAAACGAATTCGTGACCTTTTGTCACCGGCTTTGCGCCACGTGAATTTATGCCCGCGTCTTCGTTTCAAGGCATCTAACTGAAAATAAACTCAACATTCGATGTGGAATTAGCCGCGAGTGCACTGCTTTCATAGCACCATATGCTGTACACCACCGAAGCCAAATACTGTGTAGCAATATTACATATACTGTGCATGCTGTTGTACACACGTGCATACCAGAGGCACCCTATATATAGAATAAACACCACATACATCGTGCACACCAAATGACCATGCATGGCGGGGCCGTAAGACATCAGCTGTGCCATAACACATGCAGATGTGAGTCCATGTGTTGCTTTGATTGGCAGCATCAGGATCTTCATGTCGATTTAATTATTTATCGAGGGATAACAACCCTGAGTATTATTTCTGATTCACAGACTGGTCCCCACAGGGCGTCGCTGCTGCGGTGCAAAGGTCAGCGCACTGGACTTGAAATTCAAATTGTCACGGGTTCGATCTCCTGCTCCTGGCGCGGCAGTTGAAGCAATGGGCACGTTTTTACATGGATAACACCACAGTAAGTCGATAGGAGGCCACGTGTATGGTGGGGTAAAGTGTGGCTACTCCCAAATATACTCGCTACAGGCGTTCGCGAAAGCTCATTCTAGTGGTGGCCCTTCTGCCAGCGGGGGCATGATCAGGATATTACAGGGCTGCACCTGTACCACCTCGACCTGCTAAGGGACGCTTGGATAATTATCTCTGTGGGGAACAACACCGGAGCAACCAGTGGAAACCCACACGTGGAGATAAGTGGTGCAAAAAACTCAAAAGAGTCACGCGGATGACCCACGAACCCGCTTCCTGCACCAGCATCTCCTGGCCACCTAGCCACAGCTCAGTCGGTTTTTAAAGTTGCGCAATACCACGTGATCCACCAAGCCTCACCTAGCAAGGCGAGCGCCACAGCAAGAGTTGACACGGACAGTATGGAAACCGGCAATCTGTGTCCGGGTGGTAGGAAATTTATTTGCACCGACATCTGGTCCTGGTATTGTGTTATTTTTCTGCCATTCTCAAGCTTGGAAATGTATATACTCATGCAATTTGAGCTTATACACTTTGTATATTTATTTAAGGGTCGCCACGGTGGTTGTGATGTTATCTTCATCGCCTGGTATGCAGGAGGTCGGGCGTTCGATCCCGACCCTGACGCCTGCTGTATTTTCAGTTTGCATGTTCTCCCTTCGATTTTTCTCTGGATCTTCCGGTTTTTTCCACCCACATTTAGAAGCATGTGTTTAGAGTATTTAGATTAAATTGCTGCTTTAAATGTCAAAATGATAAGCCACTTTGTTGAGCTATCATTTGTGGCCAGCTCACTACTGAAAAATTCGTTAACACCTCAGTAGGCTTTGCCTGGTAGGATAGGGATGGTTGAGATTCATTTTTATGTTTTTGGGTGATTTGTTTAAATGTATTGTAGTTTACACTACTATCGTACTTTTGGATTGGTTGTTGGTGTCACGTTCTTACCCGCCCCGACTGGACATCTGTGAAAAAGAGCTTTATAGCTCATCAGATTCCTCCAGTATAAATAAATATTCAGATTCTGACACAGCCCGGGTTGGGTCTACGGTCGGGGAATGCGTCGGTGCTACGGCCGTGGTGCTGCGTGGCGTGCCATCGGCGGCCTCACCCAGCACGTGCAGCTGGAAGTGCTTGTCGCTCTCCCCGGCCACGTTGAACGCCTTGCAGGCGTAGGCGCCCTCGTCGTCCGTCTGCGCACGCAGCAGGCGCAGCGTCTTGCCTCCGTTCACGACGCGCACGTCGCTGCTCTCGATCACCTGCGGAGACGCAAGGGCCGGACCTCGGAAATGCCGTCGACTCCTCGCCCGCGCTCGTGAATGCCACGGTGGCGGAGTGGGCCGCCACAGTGGCGAGATGTTAACTGCCTCGCCTGGTATACAGGAGGATGTGGGCTCAATCCTGACACTGACACCTGTAAAATTGGAGTTTGAATTATCTCCCCGTGGTCGCGTGGATTTTTTTTCGGGTCGTCTGGTTTTTCCCTACACATTTAGAAACATGCGTTGAGAGTATTTGACTGCCAGAAATTTACACATGCTAAGCCACTTTGATAAGCTATCATTTGTGGCCAGGTCGCTTCTGAAAAAAAACCTATATAGCTCAGTGGGCCTTACCTGCTCAAACTAACTAACAACATTTAGTTAGCAAACGATACCCGCTCCACCTCAATACTGCACCCAACGCAGTCCTGGATCAGCCATCGGATCGCAACGCTCAATCTCCCAAGATCCTCCACGACCGAGCCCCAAACCTACGTCTGACCCTCCCCTTCTGTCGAAGTGAACCTGCGCCCAGTGCGAGGCGGCTCATTCTCCTCTGCTGCATCCAAAGTCGAGAACTGCCTCCTGATGAGTCATCCGGGATATTGATTCCTTGCCCTCTTTAAATCCGGGCACAAGACATTCCTTTTTTTCTCCTCTGCCTATGACTGACTGCCTCTCTCTATATAATATAAATGTCCACTGTTCTTGCCCATTGTCTTTAGATGCAGCCACAAATGGACCCTATACCAGGGGTCGGTGACCAAAATAACAAGAGCCATTTTTTTCGAATTCAGTAAAAACAAAACTCAATATTTCGTAAGTTTGTTGATGCAATTCGCTAAACCCGCTCGTGCTGAACATCTGTGAAAAAGAGCTTCATAGCTCATCAGATTCCTCCAGTCTAAATAGAGATTCTGATATTTTTGACAGTTATATTTACTCCATGATAAATACTGCCAAAATCCATGATTGGCGGTTGATTCAGCTCAACATTCCTCAGGGGTTGATAAAATAATGAGTACAGCATCACATTGTGGGGGAAGTCAACAGTGGTTGTCCTTTGGATAGACTCACCCGCACCATAGGAATGTGTAATTTCCACCACTGGCTCAGAGCTGTAAACAGGAGATGAGCACCGCCCTCAAGGTTCCTCTGTGCAGGATATAATTATCTTAAAAAAATAAAATACGGCCCAGTCTTTGACGGTTAATCAATACTGGTGGGACAAAGAGTGCTGGCGTTTAAACATCAACGTTCGCGTAACGCTCGATTCACGTTTACACTTTTTGAGAATGTAATGGCGCGGGGGGGGGGGGGTCCCCGCACCTGCAGGCCGTTTTTAAGCCACGTGATGGCCGGCGTCGGGTGTCCGGAGACTTCACACTGCAGGTCCACTGGCTGCTTGAGCACAACCGAGATGTTCCCCCGCGAATCGCTCTCTTCAATTTTTGGAGGGACTAGAAAACACAAAACATATATATATTTTTACAGATATTTAGATTTTAATATGCGTGTACGTATGTTGAACTTATTTCGCGCCGTACGTAGCCAACCGCGCTAACCGTTCCCTCCGGGTCCTCCAGTGTACTCCCATAGCTGAATGAGACAAAGCGTACGATGTAAACCGGTAATGGCCAAAACAGCCCAGTGCTCAAAGGTTACTTGCAAATTCCTCTATTGGGATGACGTGTAGCAACGTCGCCCCCTGCTACAAAGACTCGGCAGCACCCTCCTGGAAAAGAGTTGACACTGAGGATTTCCTGGAGAAGCAATAATAATATGTACGTAAGTGTAGTGGCGTAACGCGCGCAGGGTTTGCAAACAGCAGTTGCATTCATGTACGGGGTTGCAGACAGTGAGGTCAGCTCAGGATAAGCAGGTGCAGACAGGTGGCCTGGGAGACAGTAGACAGAGAGACGCCAGCAATTAGGGAAAGAGGCAGTCATTGGCGGGCTGCAAATGCAAACGCGGGGTTGGCGCCAAAGAAGCGAGAGATCGAGGCGATAAGGGGTGGAACACTTGCAAGAGACGCCGGAAGGACGCCCGCTTAATGAGGGCCATCTGAGGGCACTTAATGAGAAGGGGGATATAAGGGGAACGTGTGAAGCAATGGGGTTGAGTTGGTTGGAGATGAAGCAATGAACAGTATTAAAGACAAGCCCGGGACCTCGCCCTCCACACCTCGTCCTCCCCAGTGGTGTTGGCTGATCCCCCGCTGGGGGCACGGGCGAGGTTGGAGGTGCGGGATTAGACAGGCTAGCGGCGGAGAGTCTAGCGGAATCTTGAGTCTGAGTGTGATAGGCTAGCGGGGTGAGAAGCTAGCAGAGTACTCAGAGAGAGAGAGAGTCCGTGACAGGCTAGGACAGAGCAGGGAGTAACAGGCTAGCGGAGCAAGAGAGTAGGCTCCAAGTAGCGGAGGAAGAGTTCGCGACAGGAGTACGCGGTGTTGAACGTGAGGAGCATCCTTGTGGGATGCTGCAAATAAAGTGACACGAAATTGTCCTCGTGAATAAACACCACACTACATATGTATGTATGTATGTTCAACTTCTTTCGCACTGTACGTAGCCAACTGTTCTCACCGGAGGTGCAGTGGTGACGATTTGGGGAGATGATTGCATTTTAGAGTTTGAGTACGATGTTTCACTGGTAATTACATCCATCCAGCATCTTCGGGCGATTTGCCAGCATAGTGAAGCCATCCACCTGCTTCTGGTTTTAAATAGTGCATATTTTGGTTTAGATATGTCGATGACACTTTGGTTGTCTGGCCACATGGTAAAGATACACTTAATTAATTTTTAAATCATCTCAATGCACAAAACCCGGCCATCCAGTTCACCATGGAAATGGAGGTGAACAACACACTCTTCTTTCTAGACATTTTGCTTGGACGCGGCCCAAATGGTAAAATAACACAGAGCGTTTACAGAAATGGAATGCACACTGATGCCTATCTGAATGCAGATTCGCCCAGCACAGAAATCCTCTCTCATCAAGACAATCATACATCGGGCAAAAACATTGTCAGATGGTGAAAGTCTAAGGAAAGAGATTAATAAGCATGTTAAAGAAGCACTATGACCGAATGGCTACAATAATGCTCAAATTAACACAGCATTGAATGTCAAACCAAGACCTAAAAACAAAACTGCTGAAAGTGATCAGATTATCAAAACAATAAAAATACCATATATCTCAGCAGTAACTGACAAATTAGCCCGTGTTTTGCAAAAGCAAAACATTAAAGCAAGATTTGGTACGGTACACAAAATTAAAAAACTAGTGTCTTGTACTAAAGATGAACTACCTAAGTTATCAACAGAAGGTGTATATCGGATCAATTGCTTATGCGGTAAATGTTATATTGGACAGACGGGATGTAACATTAGCGTAAGACTAAAAGAACATCAAAGGAACATTAAATTATCTCAAACACAGCTGTCAGCAGTGGAAGAATATGCTTGCCAACAAGGACACTCAATTGATTTTGATTACGTTGAAGTGTTATGCAAAACGAATTATGACTGGCCAATAATAATTAGAGAATCCATCGAAATTGAGAGAAAAACCAATAACTTTAACCGCTCTGATAGCTACAGACTTAGTGCAGCCTGGAAGCGTATTATTCAGTAATACACAATACATATTACATTTCCTTATAGAGGAATCACATATTAATTAACTGATTACTAATCTATTATATAATTACAATACCCCCCGCCCACCTCTGCCTCTGATCTCGAAACCTGAAGGGGTTCAATGATGACGTCGTCCTGCACTATTTAAGACCGGAAGCAGGTGTAGGGCTGCACTATTCTGGCAAATCGCCTGAAGATGCTGGATGTAATTACCAGTGAAACGTCGTACTCAAATTCTAAATGTTGTGGATTCACTCTTCAAACACACCGTGGGCTGAAGAAGTAACTAATTGGCGTTTTATTAATGTGACACATTTTTTATTGATTGGCCGTGTCGGCTGGTGGAGGGTTGCGACACATTTATAAATAACGCGATCTCACCCAGAAGCCTTTATTATGAATAATACTGGTCGCGAACACCTACGTGTTAAACTGATTAGATTAATTTTGATTTAAAGCTTTCATGACTGCAGGGATTCATATTCTTGGTTCTTTCGGTAAAGTCACATAAAAGGGAAACAATAAAATAATAAAAATATAAAACAATAAAATTCTCACGACGTTTCGGATGCGGTCTGAAAGCCACCTTAAGCGTGACCAATCAATTAAGACCCGAAATGGTTTATCAAATCCTTCCAATTATTGCTAAGCCAGAATCCATCTTCTCGGTTGAAATTGTCTCTGTGTTTGTATATGTGGATAGCCTCATGAACGAATCTCTCATGGTAGCCAGATGGCTTGCAAATAACTTCTGTCTTGGAGAAGTCAATGTCATGTGAACCTACTGAATTATTATCACTCCAAGCATGAAGAAAGACCCTCTTGAGGAGCCTTTCAAAACCATCACTTTACCCTACATTGCGGGGATCACAAAAAAGATCTTCAAAATCTTGAATAAACACAAGATCCAGGTCCGATTCAACACATTACATAAAATCCGTGATCTGGTTCCATCCGTAAAAGATGTGATTCCGGAGATACAGTACCCTGGCGTCTACAAACTAAGTTGCCTCTGTGGTAGTAGTTACATTGGAGAAACCAAACGACATGTCTCGGACCGCATTCGTGAACACAAAGCAGACCTGAAACATGGTAGGACCAACACCTCGGCCGTGGCAGATCACTGATATAATTCAGTAGGTTCACATGACATTGACTTCTCCAAGACAGAAGTTCTTTGCAAGCCATCTGGCTACCATGAGAGATTCGTTCATGAGGCTATCCACATATACAAACACAGAGACAATTTCAACCGAGAAGATAGAGTCTGGCTTAGCAATCATTGGAAGGATTTGATAAACCATTTCGGGTCTTAATTGATTGATTACGCTTAAGGTGGCTTTTAGACCGCATCCATTATTTTTCGTCTCCCCCATCCTCTTTTCCGAACATAGATGGACTCGTCCATCTGAACAAACTGTCAAATCTCTCTCCGTGGTGCTAACGTTAAAAATAACCGCCACTTTTTTCAAATTTTCTTGTTGTGGTTTTCACACCTGATGATGATTGCTTGTGTGGCAGTCGAAACATCGTGATAATTTTATTGTTTTATATTTTTATTATTTTATTGTTTCCCTTCTACGTGACTTTACCGAAAGAACCAAGAATATGATTAGATGAATGTTGATGTCTCAACCGTATTCATGAAAGATTGAGCAGCATTTACCAAAAAAAAGCCACAGTGATTTCCTGCTCAACTGAACATCAAGGCATTGGTGCTAATGTTGTGTTTATAGACCTGCAGAGCCAGTGGTGGAAAATTTCACAGGCGTTTAATGAACTTACATCCGTACAGTGATCATGGTGATTACGTTTTATGAATAATACCGGGTGTTTGAAAAAGATGGACCCGATTTGAAATCGCTATATCTTTGCAACCACGAACCGCCCATGAATTAAATTCTTACCACTTGAAAGGGCGGCGCATAGAGAGGGCGGGGCATATAATTTCAAATGATTATCGCTAGATGCCTCTCCCAGCACACAAACAGCCCCTAGCCTCAGTCATTCGCGAGATGGTGACACCGCCGAAACATCGAGAGAATTTTATTTAATTATGTTTTATTTTTATTATTTTATTTCCATTCTACGTGACTTTACCGAAAGAACCAAGAAGATTAATCCCTGCAGTCACGAAAACTTTAAATCGATATAGCAAACACCGATGAGCACGGTTGGCTACGTACGGTGCGGAAGAAATTCCACATACATATGTAATTGCCTAGTTTTTGTTAAATAAAATATACGGTTGTAAACTTTCCAAAATGCAACCATCTCCCGAGGGAGCTCAACAGACAGAGACACACCGTTGGGTGGGACCCTGCATTTTACTAGGGCCTGCCAATTGGGTTGCATAAATGTTTACAGTTCACTCTTAACCCTACCCTCAGGCAACCTTAAAAAAATTATATGCCCACCTCAGACAGTGCCTTTAATCTTCAAATAATCAAAATAATGACCCCGTAATCAAGGCGTTTTGCACTCCTCTTAAGAGGGTAACCTTGTGTTGTTTAAAGGAAGCCGACGTGGAGTTATTTTGAGTTTATTGCATTCCTCGGTGAGATAGAGAGTGCTATTTTGTTTGCTCACCTCGGTCAAAACGAATGGCTTCTGTGAGATGTGTTTTGTGTGCGTTATTTACCACTGGGGGCACGACAGATGGAGAGTATTGCAGATCTGGCTTCAGAGAGCACTCTTGTCCGTTATTTGACAAAGCTTGGGCGAGTCGTGCTTCGGTATGTACGTTTACACGTATGAGTTGGTATGGGTGAATTTGCGTTTTTTTGGCCAGTGGGGATGAAACAACAGACAAGATAATTCAATGAGTGTGCTGTGCAATATCGGCACATTCCATCTGTGAGCACACTCATTGACGCTAAACTGCATCTCCAATTGATGCACAGTCTCCATCTGACGATGGAATAAATGAGTCGACCCATACATCTCCATCACATGTCCGTCTCTCCGCGTAAAAAAAAGATCAGCTGCACGGCCTTCTGGGAGTGCATAATTTCAGCTGCGTTGTTTCAAGGCCAGCAAACATCTAAGGTGACAGATCGGTATGATGTAACTAATGTAGAAAATAATATATGATATCCATGTGGTTTTCATACGGTTCGTTTGTTAATAGAAGCTGTAAACTATGGGTGAAATAAGTCAGGCCCATAATGTAAATGCTCATCCCGAGCCCTCAATACTCTGATAGTGCGCTGTTTTTGAGTTGTATGCCTTTTGGCGTCTTCTGGTTCAACACCAATGGAGACTAGGCTCTAAGAAAAGCCGTCTTGGGTGTGGACCAATCAAATTCAAGGACAGTGCATATTATTATCAGAGTTGTCTTTTTTGTTTGCATTTTGACTGCTTGTGTTGTGGTTATTGCAAACATGATGCCTTGAATAAAGGTGTCAGTTTTTGTGCCAGTTAAAAGGGTAAAACCTATTCCTAAATAAGAATGGTTTACCCTCTCTCACAATAAAACAGGTCTTAAGATGTTCAAACACCAAACAGAACCATTTTTTTTAGCAAGGAATCAATTCTGCATTAACCAAACACAGTATTTGTGGTGGACATGCAAACAAACGAACACACTCTGGTAAATATAATATATGGGGCATTGTCTTTGACGCTGATTGGCCTACACCAGAGACAGCAGCCTTTTTATGGCCTTGTCTCACCAGTGTCAGACCAGAGAACGTCAAAAGGCGAACAGTACAAAGACAATGCAGGTATCAGAGCATTTATAGCTCGGGGTGAGCAGCTCTATTATAGGAACCTTGTTGCCAGTATCAAAGTTTTACCTTTTCTGCCAATAAACCAATTTTTTTTTTTATGAAAAACACTTTTCATTTAAAGATGATAGAATATGTAACCCCTCGTGGCTGCAGATGTCATGTGAGCCCATTACATGATCCATATATGACTATATTGTTTAGCTTGAGAATTGATATTAAACACTGGTGTTATGCCTTGTTTCACCCCTACTGTAAATAAATGAAGAGTACAGAATTAGTTCCTAAAATGATAGAGTTGATGTTTTTTAATCCATTGCTAAATGAAGGTCTTCCCCATACCATGTCAGTCATGGGTAGTTTGACCATACTTCACCATGCTGGTCAGTGCAGGTAGGTGAATAGTCTCAGATTAGGCTCATATATCACTCCTCATGGTTGTCAGAGATGGCCAGGAATCAAGCTCAGGTTTTCTGCTTCATGGTGCAGTGTGTTAGCCATTGCGCCAACATTCCACTTTCCATCACCAACCAGCATGGTGAAGTATATTAACACGGCGTGGGGAGGCCTTCACCTAGTCATAGATTGACAAGGGGTGGCAAAGTTGATTTTATGACCCTTGGTGGAACGTCAAAAAATATCAAGTGTTTTGTTAGCTAGCGGCGGGCACTGTCTGCAAGTGGCACTGTCGGTTAGTATCGCTGTCAGATAGCAGAGCTGTATGCCATTGGCACTGTTGAATGGTGATGCTACTGTGGGGTGGTGGTGTTGGTATCCGATGAGGCTGTCGATTAGTGGTGCTGTCAGCTTACTGGTGATGGTAGCTTTGTCAGATAGTGGTTTTGTGCGCCAGCGATTTTGTGGGCTAGAGGTTTTGTGGGCTAGTGGTATTGTGGGTCAACTGTTTTGTGGGCTAGTGGTTTTGTGGGATAGTGGTATTGTGGGTCAACAGTTTTGTGGGCTAGTGGTTTTATGGGCTAGTGGTTTTGTGGGCAAGCGCTTTTGTGGGCTAGTGGTTTTGTGGGCTAGTGGTTTTGGGGCAAGTGCTTTTGTGGGCTAGTGGTTTTGTGGGCTAGGGGTTTTGTGGGTCAACTGTTTTGTGGGCTAGTGGTTTTGTGGGCTAGTGGTTTTGTGGGCTAGTGGTATTGTGGGTCAACTGTTTTGTGGGCTAGTGGTTTTGTGGGCAAGCACTTTTTTGGGCTAGTGGTTTTGTGGGATAGTGGTTTTGTGGGCTAGGGGTTTTGTGGCCTAGGAGTTTTGTGGGTGAGTGGTTTTGTGGCCTAGGGGTTTTGTAGCCGAGAAGTTTTGTGGGCGAGTGGTTTTGTGGCCTAGGGGTTTTGTGGCCGAGGAGTTTTGTGGCCTAGGGGTTTTGTTGCCTAGGGGTTTTGTTGCCTAGGGGTTTTGTGGCCTAGGGATTTTGTAGCCCAGGGGTTTTGTGGCCTAGGGGTTTTGTGGGCTAGGGGTTTAGTGGGCTAGTGGTTTTGTGGCCTAGGGATTTTGTAGCCAGGGGTTTTGTGGCCTAGGGGTTTTGTGGGCTAGGGGTTTAGTGGGCTAGTGGTTTGTGACCTAGCGGTTTTGTGGGCTAGTGGTTTAGTGGCCGAGGAGTTTTGTGGGCTCATGGTCTTGTGGGCTAGCAATTTTGTGGGATAGCAGTTTTCTGGCCTACCGGTTTTGTGGGTTCATGGTTTTGTTGGCTAGCGGTTTTGTGGCCTAGTGGTTTTGTAGGCAAGTAGTTTAGTGGCCTAGCGGTTTTGTAGGGTAGTGGTTTGTGGGCTCATAGTTTAGTGGGCCAGTGGTTTTGTGGGCCAGTGGTTTTGTGGGCTAGTGGTTTTGTAGGCCAGCAGTTTTGTGACCAGCAGTATTGTGGGCTAGCGGCAGTATCGGCCAGTGTGTTTTTTGGCTTGTAGTGCTGTCGACTACGAGTTTTGGTTGGTAAAGGTGCTGTGGGTTTCTGAATTAGTCGGCGAGTGGTTTCATCAGCTCACGTTGCTGCGCGCCAGCAGCTCTGTCTCACCGTGGACCTTGAGCTGGTACTTGCGCTCGGTGGTGCCGGCCTCGTTGCTCGCCGTGCATGTGTACTCCCCGTCGTCGAATGGCGTCACGGACGGGATGACGAGCAGCGTGCCGTCCTCCGCGATGGACAGCCCCGGCTCGCGGCCTGTCAGCTCGCGGCCGTTCCGGAACCAACGGATCACTGGCTTTGGGGTTCCTGTGTGCGTGTGTGTACGTGAGGAGCAGTGGCGTAGCTGTTAGTGCGCTGCAATATGCACCCAATGACCCGAGTTCAATTACCGCTCAAGGCCAACATCAGTGGTGATAATCTGAACTGGTCTTGGGCCTCCCCCAGGTCGACTCAGCCTCGAATGAGTACCTTGTGTGATGTGTAAACATTGCCACTTGGGAGACAAAGAAGGCCACCTTCAAAGGTGCTCGCTAACAGCACTTGCCCCAATAGTCTATTAAGGCTATATGGGGGATCTTTACCTTGTGTGCGTGAGCAAGCATGGAACGATGCGTTGCGTTCACAAAATCGGTGGAATCATCATCATAATCATCGTCATAATAAATAATTGATCTTTAGACATAACAATTGATTTTAATCACCGAATCGATCCTTCAATGTTTTCTAGAAGAAGAAGAATAATAATGCGTGAGGGGTGACGAAGAGGAAGAAGGAGGAGGAACGATGAACCCCGATCCGTGGGGCTGGGAGCGCGGCTCGGCCGGTACCTTTGGCGGGGCACGGGAATGCGATGCGCTGGTTTGCCACGCGCTCCTGGAAGAAATCATTGAAGGGGGGTCCCACGTCGACAACGGCCGGTGGCTCTGAGTGAGGGCAGACGAAAGGCACAAGAGAGTTGACATGCGCAACACATTGCAGTGTCCAATTTAAACTTGTGGCTATGGACCGTACAGTAAAACTATTGCAGTCTCCGCTCCTTCAATGGAGGAGGAGGAGGAGGAGGATGTAGCCAACCATGCTCATCAGAAGTGCAAGGGAGAAGGACAAAAACTGAACGCAAAAATCAGTTCTCAGAAAAACAATCAGGTGGGCAGTGATGTCAGGGCCCTGCTATCGGTGGGCAGGTATGTTGGGACAGCGTCGAGCATACCCTGGACCTCCAGGCGGATTTCTGTCTGGTCGCGGCCGGCTGAGTTGGAGGCCACGCAGGTGTAGGTGCCGGCATCGGCGAGGCGAGCGGCGGCGATGGCCAGAGACCCCTCGGGGCCCTTGGTGGCGGCGGAGCCGTCGGAGCCCAGCTGACTCTCGCCACGGAACCACGCGATGTCGGGCGCCGGCTCCCCGTACGCCACGCACGGCAGCTCCGCCGTTTCCCCCAGCAGCACCTTGACGATGCGCGGGCCCGGCTGGATCGCGGGGGGCACTGCTCCGCCGAGGGGCAGGAGGGCAGAGGAAGGGAGGGCGCACAGGGAGGGCGTCGGGTTGGGGTAAAAGTGACTCTCAGTACAAAACGGACAGGGTGGCGCCGAGGTTACGGCGGCGCTTGACCCACGATCGGAGGCTCAAAGCACGGTGGGCGCAATTGATCCAACTGTGGTCGACAAAATGCGACGTTTCATTTCCCACTTTGGGAAGTGCTACTTCCAACAAAATCAAGAGAGCAATGTATAATTTCCACCAATAGTTCAGGGCTGCCAACAGAGGTGACCCTGCTGTTCATTTAAGCATGGAGAACGTTTGGCTAGTAGTGCAGTATGTGAATGTTGCCTTTGACTTGCAGTTCGCAAAGCAAGGATGGCTTTTTGTTGACAGCACGCTTTTTCCATCGGCATTCATTGCTTGATTACACCTCAAAGATACCCCTCCCAATATCCACACACGTGCCTTCAATAATAACAGCAGGGGACAGACTAAAGAGCTGGCCTTGGTGTAGAAGGGCTGAGAAGGCTTCTCACCTAGGACGGAGAGCTTGATGGCCTGGGTGATGTTACCAGCAATGTTGGTGGCCACGCACATGTAAGTGCCACTGTCTGTCACGCGAGTCTCCAGCACCCTCAGGGAGCCAGTGGGCAGCAGAGAATGCCTGTAAGCAACACACGCGATAAAGTCACAAAAGTCAAGAGTGATTTCCATGCTCAAATGTACTTATGTATGCTGAGCTTATTTCGCACGGCACGTAGCCAACCGTGCTAATCGGTGTGTGCAGTTCAAAGGAAATGGGTTTTCAATCTAGATTTAAAAGCGCATAGCTCCAGCGGCTTCGTGATATCTGAAGCAAGAGCGTTCCTGACGGTCACATAAACGCATTTGCAAGCGTGCAAGGCAGTGACCGTCTTCATTCGATGGCCATCCAAAAGCCGCTGGGAGGATGGGACCCTTTCTTCATCATGCAAAAAATAAAATCCACATACCAACGGCAGATGCCACCTTTCCAATCTATCAACGATTATATTTACTGCTGATGTCCAACACAGTGATATCGAGTCTACCCCCCCGGCAAGGACAGTTTAACACATAGGCTTTGGCGACCAATACTTTACTATGCTGCTCAAAACGTGCCACTGATGAAGCTGGTTGTAATCACCAGCGAAACGTCATACTCAAATTGTAAGTGTTGTGGGTTTACTCTCCCACGCACCGGTGTGCTGAAGTAATAAACAATTGGCACGTTTTGTTAACATGACAAACATTACTAATTGGCTGTGTTGGGTGGTGATGTGTTTTCGACACATTTATATTTATGTGACCTAACCCAAAAACGTTTATTATGAACTCCTGCGAGGATTTGAACTCTCAACTTTCCAACTGTGAGCCAAGCCTTCTGACCAAAACAGGACGCAGCTGGGGGAAGCTAACAGTTGTTATTGTTGTTGTTTTTCTAAGGGGAAACCGGAGCTTTGGCAAGAAAATCTGGAAAGTTCAACGCAAGGTTCAGGACCACCGACAACGATGAGCGGCGTGCCCAACCACTCGCTCGGGCACGGGGATCTGCTGGCGTTAGCTGCCGCGCGATCACCTGGCGGAGGCGAGCGACACGGGGTGCCGGTCCTTGGCCCAGGTGACGATGGGAGGGGGCACGCTGTGCACTTCGCACGGCAGGGTGACGTCCTCGCCAGCGACCACGGAAATCTCCGTGGGCACCCCCGACCGCCCCGTCCCGTTGATCTTGGGCTTGACTGCACGCGACCATGACCACGGCACAGCGGGGGACCACGCGGCTTAGAGTGAAGCCCCGCCATTGCTGATGATGGCGGCAGTGGGACAACGTCTGATGTTGGGACGGCATTTGTCTTTGCTGTTGGCCCTGAGCAGGCTAAATACTGGACCAGAACTGCTAAGGGAAACAGTTCATGGAAGAAAATGTGGGAGGCCTTTACCAAGCAGTGGAAAGTTACAATCTTATCTTTACAGAGTAATGGGCGAACCTGTGATGCGTGAATTAAGTAAAAGCAAAATTGATGGGAGGAAATGATGATGAATGGATTGGATGGATGGAGAATGAGTGGTAGCCATAGAGAAAGATTGTGAATGAGTGGTAGCCATGGAGATAAATTATGACGAGGGAGCAGGAACAATGGTGGTTATAAGGTGGAGATTAAAGGGAAGTGGGATGAGCTCATAAAAAAGGTGAGTGTTAAAAGAAGAGCGGAAACTAGTGAGCGAAGGTGACTACTTAAGGTGGGGGGGGAAGTTTTTTCCAGTGAAAGTGGGGGGGGGGGAGGCGGAGCACAGGGATGACGAGGAACAGAGAATGGCAATGAAGACTGAGAATGTAGAGGGCAAGCAGGGACATAGAAGGATACAAGTGGCAAGATAGGGTGGGGCAAGATCGTGTAGGGATTTGTAGACCTGGTTGAGGAATTTGAACCGGTAATGGTAGTAGACAAGAATAACAACAGCATTGAGTTCCCATAAAGGAGAGGCGGGGACTCACCATGGACTCACCGTGGAGGTGAGGACTCACCATGGACTCACCGTGGAGGCGAGGACTCACCGTGGAGGTGAGGATTCACCGTGGATTCACCGTGGAGGCGAGCACTCACCGTGGACTCACCGTGGAGATGACTCACCGTGGATTCACCGTGGAGGTGAGGACTCACCGTGGACTCACCGTGGAGGTGAAGACTCACCGTGGATGCGTGGACTCACCGTGGAGGTGAGGATTCACCGTGGACTCACTGTGGAGGTGAGGACTCACCGTGGACTCACTGTGGAGGTGAGGACTCACCGTGGACTCACCGTGGAGGTGAGGACTCACCGTGGACTCACCGTGGAGGTGAGGACTCACCGTGGATGCGGGGACTCACCGTAGACCGATAGCTGCACCTCTCGGCTGGCCGAGCCGGCCGCGTTGCTGGCCGTGCACACGTAGGTGGCCGCGTCGTCCCCCGTGGGGCTCGCGATGGTGAGGCTGCCGCTCGCGTCCGTCACGAGCCTCCTGCTGCTGTGCGGAATGGGGTCCTTGCCCTGCGAGGGAGTGGAGGGAAGCCACCGCCATAGAACGCCTCGCCACGCCTCTCCTGTGCCATCTCGCGCTAAGCCCCTCTCCCTCTCTCTTTAGTCCTATGCTTCAACAGCCAGGGACTCGGAGAAATTGCATTTCATTGTGAATTGCAGATCTTTATTGATAAATATGTGAAACATTTACATTGTCATTCAAGAACCAAGACTACAAAGTGGTTTTCGATAAGAGGGGAAAAAGCACAGCAGGTAACGTGTATCAAACGCGGCGTGATGCACCCTCAAAATTAGGGATCGATGGAGATTGTCCGGGCATGAATTGCGTCTCTAAAGAAGGATTATAAACGCCTGAGCATCATGGGGATGGATGACGGTGATGAGGCTGCTCCTTTCTGGCTCCTCCCCACCACCTACCCCCTGCATCACTCTCGACTGAACCCCCCACCCTCCTCGTATTTGCTGATGAATGGTAATTAAAATGATGATCGGTGATGGTTGATAGTGATAATAATGATCATTATTGATGGATGATGATCGTGATGAGAAGGATGATAAATGCTTGTTATAACATTTGTGATTTTTAATGTTGGTGATGATAGTCGTGCCACGTATTAATCGGCTTCGACATTAACAGTGCTTGATGGTGACAATAATTATATAAAAAAAGGTGATTATAAATGTGAACATTTCAAATGTAATGAATATGATGATGATTAGTAGTGGGCGAGTGATGATGGCGACGATGCCGACGATGACGACGGTGACATCTAAGAGCAGAATTTCCGCGCCGTGTGAAATAGTCCACATTGTCATCGCTGATGCCCACCTTGGTCCAGCTGATGGTCGGCTTGGGAACTCCATCGGCCTTGCAGGGCAGGGTGATGGAGACGCCCTCCACAGTGCTCGCGATGGGCGACGCCGGCTGGATACTCGGCATGACTGAAACGAAACACAGGTCGCGCCCTATTCAATGCCCTCTTCCGCTGAGCCACCCGGCCAGCCGTAGAGCGAGCGGCTCGCGACTGGAAGGTTGCCAGTTCGAAAAACTGGTTGGGGGTTGGCTCAGCCCATCATCCCGCTGGGGTCGATAAAATACGTACCATTTTGTGCGTTGTCCTATGGATAGACCTGTTTCCAACACAGGAATGAGGGCTTTACACCGCTGACTCAGGGCTGTAAACCAGATTTGAGCGCTGCCGCAGTGCTTATTTGAGCAGGAAATCACTTGACTTAACTAGTCACTAAGTTAAATCAAGTGATTCGTTCAGTGTTTATTAGGGGTGTAACTATGCGATGATTAACATCGATTAACATGGAATCTTTAGATGAAGCTATGACTTATGAATCACGTGCATAATACTTGTCAATGTTTAATTGATCTGTACATGTTATATGTAATAGGTTCCTGTGATCACTATCAGCCACTAACTACATTTTCCATATTAAAAAAATCAACAAACTAATATGAATTGCGAACCCAAGTTGTGCCAATCAATAGACCCCTCATATTTATACAGGATACATACTCTGAGATGCATCTTCAATTTGCACAGGTGGATACCTCTGAGTCTTATTACAGATTAGTTGGTATCTTAAGACGTAATGTTACGCAGTACCACATTTTCTGTTTCCAAAGCCACATAATCTGTGATCAAAATGTGAAATAGGGGATTCATTTCTACGTCAATATTCAGTTACCTGATTAATTTGCATAATACTAACAATAATAATAATGCCAATGATCTACCCAGGAAAGTCCCAACATGCTCGTCCTGCACTGGAATGTTTGACCACAGAACTCGAGAGAGAACAATGCATACAACGGAACAGAAATAAACGCTCAAAAGGTCCGCACAGATGGCTTTACAAACACACTTTGCTGTGCTGCACATCACTGAGACAAATCTGCACCCACGCTTTGCACAAAGCACACTCATACCGATGCACACGTAGACCCAGTGACATACGCACTCATATATAGGGGTCAGTGCCAGGGCCCAGGTATAGGTGTTTTCACAAACACCCTCTCATACACAAATCACCTACAACTCAAACATCCTCTGTATATTTACATACAACGCTCACTTGTTCGTGAGGATGTGTTCATGAGGATGATGGCGTGTCTGTGAACACTGATGATGACACGTTCGTGACAACGTCTTAAATATATGTATCAGTCTGCACTCGAGCTTTCAATTCGTGCCGCTCTTCCCGACCCCTAATTCGCGTCGGACCGGCCGCTAAATATCTTAAACGCAATGACATTTAAAATCTCATTCTATTTTTTTGTGTACAAGCGCTTCGGTACGCTTTGCGAATCTCCCTTTTTATAAGCGAATACCGATCGATCGATCGACACGAATCCACGAGACCTTGCCTCCGCCACCGCGCCGGATCGACGGCGCCAGCGCCGCCGCCCGGCGCTGCTCAGACGGCGCCGCGGCCACCCTCACCGTGCACGTTGACGGCGACGGACTTGTTGAAGGAGCCGGCCACGTTGGTGGCCATGCACACGTACTCGCCGGCGTCCCCGAGGCTCGTGCCCTCCACGTGCACGCTCCCGTCGGCCCGCACCTTCTCCGGGGCGTACTGAGACACACGGTGGCGGGGAGGGGGGAGAGGGCGTGGGGTGCCCGCACGCGCACGATGTTCAAATGGAGCGGTGGCTGGGTGGCTGACAGGTCGCAGCGCCATCGCGCCTGGCACCAACTGAGGTCCTGGGTTCGAATGCAGTCGTCTGTGTTTAAACCGGGTTGTCGTGTGTAGCGAGTTGATGGTTTTATTCCAGTCACCAATGACTCTTATCGACTTTGGTTCTGTTCTATGAGGTCGGCAGACTCAGATGTCCTTTGCATCCCCAGAATGAAAGTCAAGTACATGGGCGATCTCTGGGCCTTCTCTTCCGTGGCCTCTAGACTGTGGAATTAACTGCCGAAGGCCGTCGGGGAGTCTGGTTTGGCTGGGATCTGCAAGTCCTGCCGCCTACAACATTTCTCCTTCAGAAAGCGTTTCCGATTTTAACTCAGAGCCACTTCTTACCCAACCCCCTCTACCACCATTGTCATGATTATTATTGGGAAGCTACTGGAACTATCCACTTTTAAATTCAGATTGAAAAGTAATTTCTTTAGAACTGCTTTTTAGTTTGTTGTTTTTTCCTTCGCACCACTGATTAGCACGGTTGGCTGCGTACAGTGCGAAATAAGTTCAACACCCATATGGGATGTTAAGTGCCATGAGGTTTTTGAAAGTTGCTTTATAAGCTGTAGGAATGAGTATTACTTAAATTGACTCAATTCCACTCTGAAAATTAAATAGTAATTTTGACTGTTACGTGACGTACATTACTCTCTCATGCAGAGCGGGTCGGAAAGTGTTTCACTCTGCTATGTGTGGGTCCGATGAAACTTGAAGGGATCTCAGGGCTAGCTCCGTGATATCTGCATCTGTTGGCTGTAATCTCACGCAAATATTTGACCTGCTCTGTAAATAAATAGATCTAAATTATGCTATGTCTCTTGAGATGATTCCAAAAGCACAATGGGGAAAAAATTGGGGGGAAATTACAAACAAATAAAAAAACCCATGCCATAACTATGGACAGCCAGAAGTCTGAGAGGACCTTTAATGCCTGCCCCTGTCATTGAGTCAACATCGCAATGTACGTCTGTGTGTATGTTGAAATTATTTCACACCGTACGTAGCCAACCGTGGTAATCGGAGGTGCGATGAGCCGGCACCACCAAGATGCCAATTTCAGCCACACTGGGTATTTACCGGTTACATTTTACTAACGATGACGATATTGACAAGTTATAATGAAGCTAACATTCATTTAAAAAAGAAACCCCTTTAAGTTAACTAATAACTTGTGTCCTTGCTTCCTTTGCCTGTAAGATCGGCACTTGACTAGAATTGATTCAAGCTCGCCTGACCATTGCTGATGAGACACTGTGGGTCAAAACCAGTCCGGAGTTTGCTCGTATTGAATCAATACTGCTGGATTTATGTACTCCCAGATGGCCGTGCAGCAGATTGCTTGTCTCCTTATTTATTTTGTAACTTGTGTGTGTGTGCGTTTTGTGCGTGGATTTTTAGTTCTAAGAATGTTAATCATCGTCTCTTATCTAGATATTTTTAGTGGCCTGATGAGGGCATTTAAAATGATGTCCAACATAAACGTCAGTATCTAGATTTCTTTCCAGATTGCTGCTCAAATAAATGTATCTCTTCATACTGTTATTACAAATATAGGTCAGGGCATTTCATCCAAAGCATGAAAACAAATGTACAACCCGAACACTATGAGAGGCACTGTATATTTATGGGAACTTTCATTCATATTTATATTGTTTAAAAAAGTTCAACACAAACTTCCGCACGTAATGGTCCCATTAAATTCAAAACAAAGTTTAAAAATATATGCGTGTGTGGTTCCATAAATTTTGGTAAAGCGAAACAATAAAACGGTTATGTTTGAACGTTATTTATGCATTAAATATTTGACCAGCTTGAAAATAAACACATTACATCACGTCTGAGGGAAAAAAAATATGACTTTGTCCCTCATAAACATTTCATAATTAAACAGTCGAATGATGGATTGTAGAAAACCCCGAGTTGCTAAAGTTTAAGGATCTGTTGGTAGTTGAACACATTAAATAAAATAACTATACAACCCCTTTTACATTTTCATGCCAAAATCATGTCATTTAGACGTTTTATTTAATTATTTTCTCGACTTACACCACATATACAGCAATATTCTTAGCTCTTTTGGTAAAGTCACGTTGAAGGGAAACAATAAAATTATAAAATATATATCAAACAATAAAAATTGTCACGTCGTTTCGACCATAACACAAATGGCTGTCATCAGGTGTGTCGGTCCGCATTAATTAATTTATTTGTAAAGGTGTATTTATTTATTTATTAAAAACCGTCAGCGCCATGCGCAGCGATTTGGCAGTTTGTTTAGAAGGACTAGTCCATCTATGTTCTGAGAAGAGGAGGGGGGAGATGAAAAATTAATGTATGCTGTCTGAAAGCCACTGTAAGCGTGAACAATCAATTAAGACCTGGAATGGTTTATCAAATCTTTCCAATGATTGCTAAGCCAGAATCCATCTTCTCGGTTGAAATTGTCTCTGTGCTTGTATATGTGGATAGCCTCATGAACGAATCTCTCATGGTAGCCAGATGGCTTACAAAGAACCTCTGTCTTGGAAAAGTCAATGTGCCTTTACCGAAAGAGCTAAGAATATGAATTACTGCAGTCACGAAAGCTTTAAATCAAAATATACAGCAATGTTTTAATCATGAAAAAATACAACTAAATAAAAAGTTACATGCAATAATAACTATATATATATTTTCAAGTTCTTGTATGCCTTCAACAAATAATATATTTATACAAAAAACAACCAAGGGGTTTACAAAATAAAACAAAATCTAACAGTAAGCAGTGATAAATAGCAACGGTGAAAATTCCACATTTCTGTGGTAGGGGAAAGTCTTTCTTCATTCTAACTGCCCACAAACTGATGCCACTTTATTCATGCCACCAAAGTCCAACTCCCCAACCGTTTGAACTGGCAGTCAACAAGTGCATGCATACAAAGGCCCCCCGTATAGCGTTTAACATACTATAGGGGCAAGTGCTGCTAGTGAGCACCTGTTAAGGCCAGTACGGTACACAAGGTGGCAGCTGGGCCAGCACCATGCTCGGCCGCCTTTGTCTCCCCAGTGGCGATGTTTACACACCGCACCAGGTACTCATTTGAGGCTGAGTCGACCTAGGGGATGCCCAGAACCGGTTCAGATCATCGTCACTGGGTGTTGGCCGTGAGCGGGAATCGAACCTGGGTCGCCAGGTTCGTAGCGCAGCGCCCTAACCGCTACACTACCGTATATGCACACAGATACGTACACACACAACACACGCACTCACTTGCACCACCCATAAGCGCGTATAAATGGGATTAGCATGAACCTCATTAAAGGACAAGGTCGGCAACAACAAAAAAAGAAATCACGCCTGTGAGTGCAAAAAGCCGGCCTGTCGTGCGTAACATAAACAAAGCATTCCATCACATCGAGCAGCTGTGTTGCACATGTGGACCCCCTCGACCCTAGCCTGCTCCATGTGCCTGGCATGCAATGGTCGCCCCCGCAGAAATCCCAACGATAACCCCGCCGCTCCGCCTGACATCCACCCCGGGGGTTTCATTGGCGTTAGTGACGCAGCCCATCCGGATGGATCACAAATGCGAAGCACGTCGGGGCGGACGGTGATGCGTCGGTATAATATGCACGAATACAAGAGTGGGTGAATGGCATTGCAGAGCGTCTAGCAAGTGGTACCTCACTAGTTTCTGGTGACTTCTGACATGGTCGGGTCACTAATTCATTTAGGCCCCCCTACTGCTGTGGGTAATAATGTGGTGGAGTGTGTTAACCACGACACAACCTCTCCTCAGATGTGTGTCGTGTGTGTGTGTACAAAGACTAAAACAAAGATCCCCTAAACAGACTATTGGAGCCAGCAAGTGCTGTTAGCCAGCACCTATGAAGGCCGGCACGGCACGGCACTCGAGGGGGTGAGTGGCCAGCACCGTGCTCGGCCGCCTTTGTCTCCCCAGTGCTGATATTTTACACACTGCACCAGGTACTCATTTGAGGCTTATTCGACCTAGGGGAGGCCTTGGATCGGTTCAAATCATTGTGTCTGGTGTTGGCTGTGAGCGGGAATCGAACCTGGATAGTTAGGTTCGTAGGAAAGCACGCAAACCTATATACCACCGCTCGTGTCTGTGTACACACACATACAATATGGTTGATTCGTGATTGTAAGGTACGAGTCGGAATTCAGGTGAGAGTTGCTTCAGTCCACCGTTTCCTTCGGATTGATAAAATAAGAACCGCTTTGCCGGAATTCAACAGTGGCCATCCGATCAAAAGATCAACCCCACCATGGGAATGTGGAATTTCCACCACAGGGTCATAAGAAACATCCCATCGTTCATCTGAGTAACGTGCCGTTTTAAATTGGGACTTATCCTTACATTTTTGTAACAGTATTGACCCATAAGAAACTGAACCCGTGATATCAGGATCAGACTAGTTATTTATACTGGAGGAACCCGATGAGCTATAAAGCTTTTTTTCAGAGATGTCCAGTCGGGGTGGGTAAAAACGTTACATGTGCACATCCATAAGCAGCCTTAAAACAACACAGCCCTTGACGAGCGTGGAAGGTTTCTCGATATCCCAGCGACATCGAGAAAAGTGTGACAAATGCTGGCATTTATTTTCACGCCCCTGCTCCGTGTCCATTTGTGCACACAGCTGTTAAAACTTGGAAAGATGCACGGAGCGCAAGAGTCTCGCCAAAACCAAACGCTGCCATTGATTTCCCAGAGGAGCAATGGGTGTTGAAGTGCGTGAAAAGAACAAAAACGCTCTATATGGAAAGAGCAGCGATGTAGCTTGATAAGACATGGTTCAAGAATAATCTTGCGGCCAACGTTTTGTAACTTTGAAAGACGTACACAAGCACCGACTTGGAGCAACTCTTTCGCTGAAAGGCAGAGGGAAGGCACCTTCTTGCCTCCCTGTATCATCGAAGAAGGCAGCAATTGAAAGATGGACCCTTGAAGGATGCCAAGCAAAAGCCATTCTCAAAAATATCCTGTGGTTCAGTTGCGGTCGGGGATTTTGAAACAACGCATACTTCGCTCTGTCTCTAGATACTTAAATCGTTCTTCGGACGTGGTTAAACACAATACATATATACGACCCTTAGCTAAAGAAACAAATGGCAAATGTAGATTGTTTAATAATATTTCATACATTCACCACTAAAGTCTAATTCACCAAGGAAAACAGTGGACTGGTTTCAACCTCACTAGATCTCATCGGCGGTATAAATAATGCAATGCACGGCACTTTGATCATTCCACTGCTGGATGAAGGCCTGCCATGCCTCTCGGTCATGGGGGGGTTGTTTGACCAAAGCTCACCTTGCTGGCCAGCGTAGGGTGCGGTGAAGGGGGTGGCAGAGACCAGCTCAGATACTGGTGTTCACCATAGCCGGAAACGGAACTCGGGTCGCCGGGTTCATAACACTGAACTAGACTATTTTAAAAAAATAAGTTTATTTTACCAGGTAAGGCCCACTGGGCTATACAGCTATTTTTTCACTAGCGACCTGGCCACAAATTATGGGTCAACAAAGTGGCTTAATACGCGGACATTTTAAGCAAGCAAATTACCTAAACGCGTGATGTTTATTCTAAATGTGGAGGGAAAAACTGGAGGACTCACGGGGAGAACATGCAAACTACAAATATATAGGTGCCAGTCGGGATCGAACCCACGACCTCCTACATACCAGGCGAGGGAGATAATATCTCGCCAACACGGCGCCCCAACACACTGTGACACCCCACTCCAGGTGTGTAACTTGTTAACTCAGTGTTACTGATACTATGGACAAGAGTCAGTCCACTGACAATGTGCAGCGAAAATAAATGGCACTGCGTGTATACAAATGTTGATAACTTTGTTCAATGACGAGCCTCCCAGCCACTGCTGACTTTCAACCCAAGTGTTGCTCTTTCCAACTTCAGAGGGGCCCATCTAGGAGCTGATAAATAAACGCAACCGCACGAGTCTGTTTAACAAACGAACGGGTGCGTCCCCACGCATAAACAGGTCCACCCGGCCAAAATGAATTGTGCACCAGTGTTTTTTTTCCCCATCAGCATAAAAAGAGAACAAATCAGCAATGTGAATTAAAAAGTGCAAACTAGTCCAGTGCACGTCGACTTAAACAAATGCTGCTGGGAAACATTGGTCATGCCATTTAGTTGATGAAACAAAAGGCTATTTGTGCATTTTAATATCACCAATTCATGTTATTTATGCACCACAATCGACCAGGACGATGGCATAATGATTTTAGTTTGGAGTAGAGATAATCGTGACTGTGGATTTGAACTCACGATTTTGAACACACGATCTCACGAACAGGGTAATGAGTTTTTGCTTTTATTATTTTCAATTAATTTGTATTTTTAATTGTTCATTAAAATACATTTTTTATTTGTATTTTTGTTTTTTTGCTTTTATTATTTTTTCATTTTCATTTTATTTTTATTATTTTATTTGTATATACGTGACTTTCCCGAAATAACCAAGAATAGGGTAATGCTGTTCGTCCACCCAACCCGCATCTGGGCCGTTCGTTTTTGGCACGTGTCGTGACGGGTACTGCAAGATCCGACCGTGTCCGTCCGGTGCTCGCTGAGCTGCATTGGCTTCCAGTTGCCGAACAAATACATTCTCAGGTCGCACTCATTACACACAAAGTGCTGTCCACAAATGAACCACAACACCTTGCTGATCTCGTCAAGGAGCATAAAGCCACCGTCACGCAAACTCCGGTCATCCTCGCAGCGGCTGTTGGCTAATTACCGAACAAAGACGGTCACCACATCGCGCGCTTTTAGATGATCCATAATAAAGGTTTATTTGGGTCAGATTGCATAAATATACATGTTTATATTAACTGTGAATAACCCAATCAATAATAAGTACTGCGTATTCTCAGATTAAAATGATTCATTATAATTTACATGAATACATTAACCCCCCTCTGATAGGCTCACAGTGACGACATCACCTTTACTCTATTTAAGACCGAAACAGGAAGACTTCTTCACAATTCTGGAAAATCGCCTAAATGAAGCTGGTTGTTGTAATCACCAGCGACACGTCACGGTACTTGAATTGTAAATCTTGTGGGTTCACTCTCCAACACATAACCGGCGTGCTGAAGTAGCTACTAATTGGCACGTTTTGTTTACGTGACAAACATTACCAATTGGCTGCATCGGGTGGTGGCCTGCTTTTTACGACACATTTCTATTTACACGATCTAACACGACGAAACCCCCCCCCCCCCCTTTATTATGGATATACATATATAGACACACGTGCATTCAACAAGCGCCACCCTTACACGCGCCAAGTGAACGTGCAACGGTCGGCTCCGGTCACGTACCACGTTTCCATTTTTGAACCACGTGCGCTTGGGCAGCGGGTTTCCGGAGAGGAAGACGCAGGGCAGGGTGAGCAGCTGCCCTTCCAGCACGTTCACCACCGGCGGGCTCACGGCAATCACGGGAGACACTGGCACACACGGGCAAGGGACAACCGTCGTCGGTGACGATCGAGAGCGCGTCCGGCGACCGCGCCGCTCTCGCACGGACGCGTTCAGTTGACGGGGGCAGTCTGGCCGGTTGGTTTGGGGTCGATGTTGCTGTCCGGTTTTACCCAACGGACTACATTTGCGAGGGATTTTCCCGGAAAATTGACAAACTTGGACCGTGAAGCCGGCACACACGGCCTACTCCTTTGCGGATGACGTCACGGGATCTTAAATGTCTCCTGTGAAGCAGACGGCGTTTTATTTTTTTTCCGGTCAAAAGACCTCCAGTGTTCTGTGCTCGGTCTGTTACCCGCAACCCCGATTAGCACGGTTGGCTACGTATGGTGCGAAAGAAGTTCAACATCATACACGCATATCTATTTCGTTCTAAAATTCGACTTTCTGACAATGACACGATTCTCTATACCCCAGGATCTTGATAATATAATGCACTGCTAAAGTTAAAAGGTAACTGCACCTGATTGCAAACACAAGATGAGCCCCAACTCTACGAAAGCTCTCAGCCACTGCACTCTCTCCGTAACCGCTCTCTGCAGCCACAACTATTGAAAACATTTCCTCTTGGCATCTGGCGATTCTCATTTCAACACCAAACTTCACGTTTAAATTTTTAATTTAAAAAAAGTGAAGAATAACGATAGGGAATTTTATTTTATATCAACCACCTTGAGGTCTATCCTAGACTATGTTTACAACATGTACAGTACAAATGAACCTCTAAAAACAACTTTGGATTTGCTAAATCCTTTCTTTTACCTCGCCTTACCCTTTATCGTACAAACGAACTCCTCTACTCATCACTGCGATCATTTATCCAAGACCCGGTTGTCAGCCTCATTCAACTCGGAGGGAGAGTCATTGGGCCGAGTTCATTTTTTATGCAACACATTAACTCAACCACCTTTCCTATGCAGCGTGTACATTCCTCTGACAAGTCCTGGCCATCGACTATCGTCCCTTCCGGCGACGGTGCCCTTATCATTGTCGCGAAGTACATTCACGTTTAGAACTCTTCCACGTCGCGGGTCCCAGAGCAAACCGTGTCGGTGTGTATATGCGCACGCACACTCACCCATGCCCGTGATGGTGAGGTAAGCTTGAGCCTCAAGTTTTCCGAACTGATTCTCCACCTCGCACACGTACAGACCTTCGTCGTCCACCCAGGCACCTGCACGCAAAGTGTGAATGACAGTGATGGCACAAGCGCGCAGTGAAACACGGGGGAACGATTCACCATTGATCGTTGGGTTACAGCGAAATCTGCGTCATCGGAAACCCTCCACCACCCGACACAGCCGGCCTGCCCCACCTCTCTCCCGCTGTGATCATAACGGGATAAAGTTTGGTTTTAGTTTGTTGTCTTTTCCCCGTACCTCCAATTAGCATGGTTGGCTACGCACGTTGCAAAAGAAGTTCAACATTCATAACAAAGATTAATAAACGCGCCGACTGAAAAAAATATTCTGGGACGACTGATGTCATTCTGCGCTATGTCCTTGTCCGCTTCCGCAATCGCGCATCTGGTTGAGATGACTGAACACAGTGAGCAGGTAGCGTGATGGGAAACACTTAATTCAAAAGTGCTCTTCTGGGTATCGCTCGCATCTTTGCAACGGTGACCAACAGACACCTCACATCAGGCCACACTCCACAGACCACTGGCGCTGCCCAATACCCCAGTCGCCAGCTGACCCAGCACTCGCACGAGCATTTAATGTGCCGGTCATTATTGTTTGACCTCACCAACAGGTGGAAGTTCAGCGTTCCTATGAAGGCCCCAGGTGGGGAGGGCTAGGGGGTGATCACGTGTCCAGGGAGAGCTCTCGAGAGGGAGCTAGAACACTCGAGAAGGTGGGCGGGGCCGAGGGCGGAGTGGCCCCGACCCGGGAGGATATAAGGTGGGTCCCTGAGAGGGACTGGGGTCTCTTCGTTCTACAAGCTGGAAGCTCTACGTCCTACGAGGCATAAACACGTGGCCGGGGACCCGAGTGAGGATCCAACCCTTCGATGCTGTAACTCCTACGTATAGTGTAGTTAGCTGGGTGGTCACCACCCCAGGCTATATCTGGTAAAGGGGCAGTTACCCCTTTGTATATATGTGTTACAATAAATGTGTTTCCTCTAAAGAATAACGTCTGTGACTCATTTGGACTCACTGCATATATATCAATACCGTGCACCTCATGTAAATCGTTTAATTTGAGTGAGGCCCATTTAGCTTTCAGTAATTGTTTTCAATGGCAACGAAATAATCGGGAGGACATGAGTGGTAGCGCCGCGGTGATTACGGGACTGCACTATGGACCCATTGACCCGGGTTTGAGTCCCAGCCACAGCTAACAACAGTGGCGAGTGATAGATCCGAATGGGTCGCAGTGAGCAGCATTGTGAAGTATGGTCAAACAACCTCCACAACAAACACGGCGTGGGGAGACCTTCATCCAGCAGTGGATTGATAACTGTACATATTACTATTATATAAACATTAAAGATAATGGACGTAATATCAAGCGAAATAATGTTAGTAATGCACGAATTGTTTCTTGACATTTGTTGTCAGTTTATGCACTTTTGTTATATTACGTTTAAAATATTATATAACCGCAACCCAAAAATATAAATGTAACGGTGCTGCCCTGAAACTGCTTGCTCATACCACTGCAGGTGGGTCTCCACGAGAGGAAGCTATCTAGAGCCCCTCTTGCGGCTACTTTGGCCTACTCGGCCACATACTGGCCAGGTCTTGGAAGAGGTGGGAGTGCCCACACTTCACCCGACCGCACGCGGTACCTCTTGATCGACTAACTGCGATGAACCCATTCACACTGATGGACAGAGGCGGGAAGAGGAGGGGAAGGCATTTGAACAAACTTGCCCCCATTGCTCTGAATTTAAGTGGCAACCTCTGGATTGCAAGGCCATTGTGCTCACCATGAAACCAAGGCACCATACATTCTATATATATGTACAGTATATATACAGTGTATTTATATAGACTGTTGGAAAAAAGTGTTGCTATTAAGGCACATAAGCAAACAGTGTGGTTATTACAACATTTACTTATGCGTACCTGTCAACCCCTCATCAGTGCCTTGTTACAGACCAATTCAGACCTTATTGGTCACCCCGTGACCCTTATAAATCTCAACGTTCATCCTACAAAGTCCTATCACAAGGGAGAAACACAAAAAATAGACACTTTTTTTTACCCAATTCCCCTGTTCAAGAATACAGGTAAAGCGTATGGCTTGACAGATATGTTTATGTCCCCGCCGTGTTTGTGTTAGCTATACAAAAACTAATGTTCAATGGTGACGTTTGGTTTTATATATATCGCGACGTTCATGCGAAACGCATCTCACTATCTCTGAGGAACAACAGACAAGTCAGAAGGCAGTCAGGCGGCGAGGCGGCGAGCCAACACTTGCCCAGGTTCTGCGATCCTCGATATATTAAGGTGCCTTCAGCCAATTATGAGCATTCATGCACTTGGGAGGAAACCAGAGGTCCCGGAGAAAACCCATGTGTGCGAGGTGCCAACAGCACTCTATTCCACACAGAAGGGATAGACGGCAATTGTCCGCACTACTGCTGTACCACTTTCTCATGGGGAGCCAGAGTACGATGCCTCGACACCCATGGGATTTTCGCAACATTTTTGCGTGATCCACCAGCCCCTCGCCTCCACAGTGCTGGGTTACAGGGGTGTAGGCCACCACCGCCCGACTACTCGTTATATAATGAGTCAACCTAGGGGAGGCCCACATCAGGATGAATTTAATCTGCCACAGATTGATGTGCATCATGGCCAGAAACAGAAACAAATGCATTGGGATCGTAACATTCTGCACCAACTACTGCCCCAGCTCTCCATAAATGTACACGCACAAAGATAAAGATCCCCTGTGTAGCCTACAGAGACTGTTGGGGGCAAGTGTCGTGAGCGAGCACCTATTAGAGTGCACATAGAGGTGGCGTGGCAGCACCACGCCCAGCCATCTTTGTCTCCCCAGTGATGTTTGCACAGATGTTCACACCGGGTATTAATTTCAGGTTGCGTTTAACTAGCGGAGGCCAACGTCACCCAACGTCCAATATCCACGCATGGGAATGGAACCGCGGTCATCGGGCCCATAGCAGAGTGCGCAGCTAACCACTACACCACCTGCACACACGCGCGCACACAAATGTTTAACGATGTTGACGCAACTTTCAGTGAAAGTTTTATTAGGCTTTTTTCTCTCCTCCCTCCCCCAACCACCCCAACTCTCTCTATAAACACCACCACACGGCTTTTTTTCTCTCTGCAATAATTCGTGCTTCTGCCGACTCAGTTTGTGCCGTGAATGCTGCTACTGTAATCCAAACGGCCCCGGCTAGCCGATCGCCAGATGTTTCCACCCGGGATCCCGTACATGCGCCGGCTCAGCGGTCCCACTCTCGGCAATGCGGCAGGGGCCCCCGTGGCCCCCATCAAGTGGCTCCCAAGGAGCCACTCCCTTGTAACGGTGGCGGCACGGCATGGCGGGCTAAGGGTGGGCTTACAGCTGCGAGCGGCTACGATGGTTCTCTCAACGGGATGGCCAGCTTTGCCGCACCTATTTTTGAATTTTTTTTTACCAGGTAAGGCCCGCTGAGCTGGCACACAAATGTACGTATGTTGAACTTCGTTTTGCACCATGCGTAGCCTACCGTGCTCATCGGAGGTGCGGGATAGCCCAATGAAGTGGCTTATCATGTGGAAATTTAGAGCAGCCAAATTAATCTGAGTGCTCGTTGATTCTAAATGTGGAGGGAAAAACCGAAAAACCAGGAGAAAAATCCACGCAACCACGGGGAGAGAGACACGCAAACTCGAAATACACAGCGGGCATCAGGATCCAGATCGAGTTTAAACTCACGACCTCCTGTATACCAGGCGAGGTATACAGGAGGTGCTATGCTATTGGTCATCCAGGTGTCCCCTCTTGGACTTGTCAGAGAAAATTCCAGTGGTGTGTTTGTGTGTTTCATGCACAATGGGATGCATGATTTTCCTCTGCTGGGTGAAAATGTATTAACATTTCCACAACCAAACTAGCACCAGTTGGCGATCGTCTCTGTTGGTTGTTCTGAGCCTCTGGTGGAAACTCCAAATTTCTATGGCATTGGCCAGTCCCTTCATAGGATGACCCATATTGACGTTCCACAAAGCGGTACCCATTTTATTGACCCCAAAAGGCTGGCGGATTGAGTTTACCCCTGAGCAAGATTTAAACGCAAGGCAATAATTAACTTAGCATTAATAATAATTACACATTTACTCAAATATATAAACCATCTAATCATGATAACACTAAGCATTTAACTAAACGTATCTCCCTAAGTACCATTAAGTATCAAGACTTTTCAGGTGGGTATTGCAATGGGATATTGGGCCAATTCCTTTAGTCAGTATTTAGCATGGAGGAGGACACCAGTGTTAATGAGAATGCCCAGTTGAAAGTAATTTCACTGTGACGGTGCGGTGTAACTGAATGCTTCTAACTGATGCCAGAGAGTCAGGAACACACACACACACACGTGTATATATAAAAGTCAACATGTTCTTAAAGAGTTTTTTTTGTTTTTTTTGTGCTTTGTGCACCGCTGCCAATGCAACAGCACCACCAAATCAAAGTGTTGATGGTTAAACACATAATAGGTGCAGGTGGACACAGGCCGATGCTGAGACTTTTTTTTGGCCGTTTCCAATACGAGCCCAAATCTGCACTCAAGAAAGTCAACTCAGACGTACACAATGGGTTTTGTGTCAGGCTAATGTGTTGCTGTACCGTTGGGATGCATGTTCCTGGTGTTTCCAAGCCACTGCTGCCACCAAAGACAAATATCCGCCGTACAGGCTGAACAGACTTTTCGGGCAAGTGCCGTGAGCGAATGCCTGTGGAGGCCGGCACGGCACATTAGTTGGTGGGTAGCCAGCGCCACGCCCAGCCGCCTTTGTCTCCCTAGTGGTGATGTTTACACATCACACCAGGTACTCTTCAACTCCCCGTGTGAGATGCGGTGACGAGTTACCCACCCCCTTGGCCCCAGTGTTTCTCCACTGAGTGGAGACCCTTTTTAAATATTTTTCCCCGTACTAAATCAGAATCTGAATATTTGCTCAAACTGGAGGAATCCGATGAGCCATGAAGCTCTTTTTCGCAGATGTCCGGTAAACAAATTGTAAGAGTGAAACGGCACAATGCTCCTATTTTAATAAAGCCAATAAGGTGGGGGGGGGGGGTGGCGTTTGGGAGGGGGCTCCAGTATATTGTTCATCCCTCCGAAAATTTTCAATTAGGGGGCAATAGAACCCCCCCTCCCCCACCTGTGGTGCTGGCCCCCATGCATCTGTGCCGTGGTGCAAGTGCTCACCGCCTGTGCCTCGTTCCCTCTCTCGATGGGCTTGAGCCGTTTGTTGACGTTCTTGTTGCCCGCACAGCCACTGCCTTCAGCAAAACACCCCCTCCCCCCCCCCCCCCCCCCCACTTTGTACAACCGCTTGGCTTGGCAAGTAGCGGCGCTCCTTCCAAAATAAACCCCTTTGGTGAAAGATAATTAATAGGAGATGTGCGGTTACATCTCAAAAAGGATCTTTGTTCCCCGGTCTGGATTAATCGCTTCATATCGGCAAGATCTTTACAAATGAGACAACTAAGAATGCTTCAAACAAATGAGAATCAATGTAATAAAACAAGAAATGTGTTGCATATTAATAATAACCTTCAGTTTGTGCCAGTGCATATCGCTAGACTCGTGTATATTTCTGCCGAGTGTTGTTTTATTGTTTATTAATGTTTATAATAATTTATACTTACACGTGTAAGGCGCAGTTCATCCGTAGATCCCAATGCGCCCATTGGCTTGTATACTTTTTGATCGTCAAGACTTCAGTTAAACAGTTCACTATTTACAATGTTGTTAATGCTCGTACACATAACCATCACTTCATTCCTTTTTTGCCAGGCCCCCACTACAGAATTCAACGGACCTCCAATGTACACGAACGCAGTCTCATCAGCACCGACCGCCTCTGGGGTCGTCCCTATGCTCGATTCACTCGTTCATTCCATGCATTTTTTAAAGTAAAAACTTGCCCCCACTGAAGAGGACATCGACATACTTTACAGTCCTACCTATAAAATCAAGACACATAAAAAAGAATATCAAAATAAAGAGGACATACTCAAGGAAAAGCTAAAAGGAAAAAAATGAAGTCTTGCAGAGTTTTTCCTGAACTGTTCGTTGCCTGGACCCAATCTGAGGGCAGGTGGAGGAGAGTTCCACATCTTAGGCCCTAATACCACCCAGCATAGGGCTACTCCCTTGCACGTCTCGATGACCTAGCCTCCTCCACCCTGCCCACGTGTCCCACCCATCACAACCACTCTCCCGCCACATTTTCTCTTCAACAAAACCTTCAATTTATTTCCACTGACCCTTTCACATTCAAAGGCCCACGGTATAATTCTTAAAGTGCAGCTCACAGACTCTTGCAGTAAAATACTCTTACCTCAAACCCTTACACTTCCAAAGCGTCATCGCAATCGTGCCCTGCTAATACGGTAAGTATCTTGAGCTCATTTTCACAAGAGGTAATTGACCCAATCCACGCGCCATAAAAGCGTGCATTTTTTTTTAAAAGAGAGGACCTCGAAAGAGAATGGTCATTATTAAAACATCAAAAGGTTACTTATATTCTTGCGGGTATGGTCACATGTTCAGCATTTCTATGTCCATGTCGAGGTCTGCTGGCCACGTGAGGGCTTCTGGATAAAGAGGTTGGTTAAAGCGTAAGTCCGAAATGCCAAGTTCTGCCTTTCCTTCGGTGGCTGTCAAATATAGGTTTAAAATTATTTTTTGTTAAATATCCATTCGTCGTGTACATTTTCGAAAGCTGTAACTTTATACGTGTATAATAATGTAAAGTTCTTTGTCGATCCACTGCCGGATGAAGGACTCCACAGCCGTATCTGTCATTGGGGTTTGTTTTGACCACACTTCACCATGCTGCTTGGTGACGGGGGGGCAGGGACCGATTCAGATATTCACTGTGCCACCGTTGTGAAATGAGTACACTGACCCTTTCCAGGAGTCTCTATGGGTGTTAACATCTGCGTAAGTCCGACAGAGGCAGCTGTTCCCCAGTTCTCAGACATTGCTCTGAGGAAAGTGCGAATTTATGAATAATCCAGCTCAACATTTCAATAATTTGTGCAACTGGGCTTATTTTTCGATGAGGTTTATATTTCTTCCACCTGCCGTTGGTGGTGCATTCCTTTGATTGGCTTGATGAATGCCTCGCCTGGAGGATTCCTATTTTAATGCACAGGAGTGGCATGTTAATGGAAAATTACTGTTCTAATGAGCTCAAATTGCACGCACATGTCGGAACTCAAAGGAAACCTACGGAGGCAAATTTACACACGCAAAGTTGGTATGGAAATTAACGATACGCTAAATAGTGACGGAGGCACGGGGATTTGCATACGTTTTTTTTGTCACTCTGAATGATTTAGTCCAGATTTTCGTTTCGTTTCACGTTTTTCAGTGTATTCTGAAGAACAACAGACATACCAGACAGATACCAATGTGTACATACAACCCTGTGAACTGTATCTATAACCACATAATAAATCCATGGAGAAAAACATATATATATGCCAAGGAGAAAAACAAAGATTCACCCCTGTTTTGGATGTTTCCATATTGATGTCAGTGTAGTTAGTGAGCACCTGTCCAGGTTAGCATGGCACATGAGGGACTGATGTGGCTAGCAAATGCCCAGTGACCGTTATTTAAGAAGTTACATTCACCGAGAGGATACGATGAGGAATGAATGATACAAATGATAATTTTACATTACATTTAAATACGATATTACATTACTTTAAAAAAATAATCAGTAATCAGAGGCTGATTGCTTATCGCCCTTCCAAAAAACACAAAAAACTCTGAATCACCTTAATAGACTTTAAGATCAGGTGCTGTTCTTAAGAACCTATGAAGGCTGGCGTGGCTGTGGTGGATGACATCACAGCACTTGTGCCAGGCTAGGTACACGTTGAGAGCATGCGAAGTCTCGAAGGCTCGCCGCCAGGAGGTCACGAAACAAATTCAGGTGTCGTGGTTTAAATAACTGAGATGACTGGCAGATGCACCACCCGTGCTGCCCACTGTGCCAACTCGCTGCACTGCGCCAACTCGAGCCGACTGGCACTCTGCTTGTTGTTCTGAGCGTCGCACATCCACCCTCCACTGGTGCCAGTCATCGGCAAGCCCACTCTGTTCTCAGCTGCAGGCTAAGTGGGCACGCACACGGACAGTCGGACGCGCACACACACAAAGAGAAAGATCCCCCCCATATAGCCTTAACAGACTGTTGAGGCAAGTGCTGTTAGCGAGCAGCACCTATGAAGGATGGCACGGTACACGAGAGGCTGGCTGGCCAGCACCACGCCCGACCGCCTTTGTCTCCCCAGTGGCGATGTTTACACACCAACCCAGATACTCATTTGAGACTGAGTCGACCTAGGGGAGGCCCAGCACCGGTTCAGCTAACAGTCACCGGTGCTGGCCGTAAGCGGGACTCGAACTCAGGTCGCTGGGTTCGTTGCGTAGCGTGCTAACCACTGCACTACCGCTCCCCACACGAACACACGCACGCATACACACACACACGTACACACACACGCTCGTGCCCACCCGCAATGTAGAGGCTGCCGTCCTGCAGCTGGGAGGTGGCGCCCGGCACCCACGGGTCACGTGACGTCAGGCTGCGACCGTCCGCTCGGTGCCACGTGACGCGCGGCTCCGGGTAGCCGAACGCCAGGCACGGCAGCGTCACATTGAGCCCGATCTCCACGGTGGTGTCCGACGGAGCCTGGGAGAACACCGGCCCAGCTGTGCGGGGAGGGGACCGGCGGGGTTCACACAAGCGGGATGTGAGTCTATCGTGCAGCGCGCGCCCTTGAGACCTGTTGATCATCATCGTCGTCGTCGTCATCGTCATCGTCGTCGTCGTCGTCGTCATCGTCGTCGTCGTCGTCGTCGTGTTCTAAACACAGAGGTTTCGTCGCCAATATTACGATTCACACTTGATTGTTGGGTTCGGCTACGTAATCATCGAACCAAGTGTGTGTCGTGAAACCCTCCACCACCCGACAGGCAGACAAATGAAATCGTCAAGTGTACGAGCGTTTAACAAGGCAAATGGTATTTGTGTCAGCCCACCTGCTTCCATCTCTTCTCCCTCACCTATCCCACTGCTACTCCCTGCCGCCGCCCCCCAGCTATGACCAGGCCTACCCCCTCTCACTACCCCGACCCCGATCACTACCCCAACCTCTCTTTAATCACTCCCGCCAGTTCTCCTAACACCGTAACTATACCACCAATATTAATAACGACTCCACTCTCTATCTCAACCAACATCATCTTATGAGTAATTGTGTGATTGCCGCAAAGTGCCTTGAAATAAAATGCTATATAAATCTACGTAAGCTAGGACAACATTCTCACAGCCGCATTGAGCGATAGAAACGACGATTAGTGTGTAAATACGCCAAACATCATCATCGAGGTCTTGAATGGAAATCAAGAAAGTGAGATTAACCATGTCGCATCTCACGTCCTGGTGTCTCTTGCTAAATTTGTTCGTGAGAACTTTCTCTTCAGCTTACCGGTGTGCTGAAACAAATCATGGACGCATGAAATCGCTTGCGCGTGACATTTTGTTTTGTTTTGTTTAGCCTCGTCGGGTTTGTGGAGGGGTCCTCACCACGCACACACAAATTGGTCAGATCATTGCATAGCCTGACCCACAAATCAATGATGTGTCGTCAATATCATCGATGCAATCATCGTCGTTGTAAAGAACAATCTCAACCTGGAACTGCGCCGCACAGTATTAGCTCGCTCTCGAAGAGAGGGAAGGGCTCAGAGGCGCATTGTCATCACATTTAGATGGAAGCATCAGGTGCATGGAACTCTCATGAGCAGGGCAATGAGGTTCCTGACGGGAACCGGTACAGCAGAGTGTAGGCTGTGGCCTTCTCGGTGCGTATTTCACCGGGTTATGTCCTCGTATGCGTGGGTTGTCCCTGGGAAATTCAGATTCCTTCTGCATGCAACGTTAAACAGGAGGACCCTTCTGCATAGGAAGATCGTGGCTCACTGATATTTCATTACATGAATAGACTCGCTAAATTTTGATTTAAAGCTTTCGTGACTGCAGGGATTCATATTCTTGGTTCTTTCGGTAAAGTCACAGTAAAATAATAAAATAAGAAAAAGATCTAAAACAATAAAATTCTCACGACGTTTCGACTGTAACACAAGCAATCATCGTCAGGTGTGAAAACCACAGCAAGAAAATTTTAAGAAAAAAAAATTGCTCGTGTTGCAGTCGAAACGTCGTGAGAATTTTATCGTTTTTTTATATTTTTATTTTATTTTATTGTTTCCCTTCTACGTGACTTTACCGAAAGAACCAAGAAAAGAATAGACTCACTATTTACACAACAAATAAAAACCTCTCGTGCGTCCTTCCTAAAACAAATGCGAGGTGGCGCTTGGTTCTCAAGGAGCTTCCTGAGCGAGTGCTGAGAATTTTCACATTCCTATGGTAGAGGCCCAGTCTTCTCCACAGGACAATCAACAAGGTGGCTATATAAGTTATTTGTTAAACGTAATAGAGCCCTCACAAAACAAGAGTCGAATAAAAAGGAATGCATCAAAAAGAGTAAGACGTGAATACATCAAGTACAATTTCTGGGGGGTTTGTTTTCTTCAGTTTCAGAGCACAGTTGACTGGCTCCTGAGTGCACTTATTGCAAAGCTGAGCATTTGCCATGGCTTCGGGGTTTTGATACGTCCACTCAGGAGGGTGATTAAAGGCGATGGGCTTCCCACTGAAACTCCATTGCCTCCAAAGGGTCCATCTTCCACAAAGCATTATTTTAAATGTATTTTAATCTGCCACTAATTTATGGCCCTTCCCTTCTGCTGAAGCGAAGCACCATCTGTCCTGGCAGTAGACGGCAAGATTTCCGTAGTCCCAAGATGTTAGAGAAGATTATTATTTTTTTACGATTCTTTCGGGTGCAAAGAAGGAGTGAGTTGTGGGGGGGGGGGGAGTAAAAAAGAACGTTGCGCAGAAATCCAAGAGCGTTGTGTGCTCGGCGAGCGGTTGTTTTAGTAACCCAAACATTCTGGCAGCGCGACAGCCAAGAGTCTCGTTTTGCCCGAACAAATCTCAGTGGCTCAAAAATTCGGGATTACATTTCCTTTTGCCCTTGGCGGCGGCGAGAGGCGGGATCCGACAAGAGCGCCCTTTGTGTAGCGGCGCGCGCCACAGACGCTGCCTGTTGCTACGGCTCCACGGCTCCAGCAAGCGAATTTCTCAATACCCAGGGTGCACCGCTTTACACCGAAAAGGAATGAAAATGAGAAAAAAAAAACGTGCTCGCTCGCTCGCTGCTCGATCGACGATGCGCGCACACACGCCTGTCGTTCCGAGCAATGTTGCGTTGAAGCAATTGCGTTGAAAAATAACACTTCGCTGTAATCATGCGTGCGGTATATGCAATGCTACTTTGATTAATTTGTCTGTTTTAAGCGTGTCATCTAGATTACTGTTGCTTAGCTTGTACCGGCTGAACTAGATCATTATTATAACCAAATTGTTTTCAATTTGGAATATCCGTAAAACGATTCCAAAAACAATTAAAGCAGGGAATCGGTCACGTCGACAGCATGGATTATGTAAGTCAGCAACAGCCAATTCGTTAGGATCACACAATAACGCCTGGGATGGAGCTGTTAATCCCTATATTTAAAGTCAAACATCATAGCGCCTGCTCAAATGAACCAGTTATGGGATCTTGTTATCCTGCTTCTAATCTAGGCGGTGATCATTCTTGTTGATAGCTCTGAGCAAGTGGTGGGCATTCCACATTCCTAAGGCAAGAGCCAGTCACTCCATAGAACAACCATTGTAAAACCTCCCACAAAGTGGAATTAATTTTAATCAGCCGCGCAATGTTCCTGGACCGAGTCCCCCCTCGGCTGAGCACATTTTGAGTCGAGCACACTTCCACGTTACAATCTGGCCAACGACAGAGTCTACACTTTACATTCGCGATGATGATACACCTACATGGACACTGACAACTACAATTAAATAAGAGCTAAAGACGTAAGAAAAGAAGCACGGTGAGATGGATGCTTGGAACTATGCCACGAGACGGCAAGATGATTTGGAAGAGCCAACACAGACAAGAAAAAAAGTAAGGAAACTTGGGTAAGACACGTCGCTCGAAGAGATGGTGGCCAATGGGAATGAGACCGGTAATGGCATGGCACCGAAAAGAAGAATACACCTCCAAGAGGATGGCAGCAGTGGAGATGGAGCAGTACAATTGAGCTCACGTCCAGGAGTGAGAACGACTGCACCATCGCGAGCCAAGTGAGGCATGGGGAGTGGGAGGGGAGCGGGGGGAGATTTTCATAAAGTAATCGGATCGACAATGGCTCATTGTGTTGGCCAACTTGCTTTTGTTAACATGGCTTCAGATATTTGGGCATATTTGTGAATGGGTCACGTAGGCACAGCCGAAAGGTTGCCCCAAGGGAATACTCGTGCGACACATTCGCTATCTCATCATTAGACCTCCTTTGCCAGTTCCAAAATGTAAGGCGTCATCTGGTCGAGCACCAATTGGGTCGAGGCTCAAAAGAAAACCGTCCCTTGGTGTGGACCAATCAGTTTCAAGGACAATGCATATATTATCAAAGTATGTATTTTTGTTTGCATTTTGACTGCAGGTATTGTGGTTAATGCAGACATGAATCCTTGTAAGAAGGTTTCAGTTTTGTTGCCAGAAAAAAAAGGGGAAAAACCCTATCATTATATTCGCTATTCTCGGACTTGAGGTTGATAAAACTGTAAATGGGCCAAAGTGTCCCCGCTGAAAGGAATGTTGTGTCAGCTTCCACACTTCTTGATTTAAAGCTTTCGTGACTGCAGTAATTCATATTCTTAGCTCTTTCGGTAAAGTCACGTTGAAGGGAAACAAGAGAATAATAAAATATATATAAAACAATAAAAAAAATTCTCACGACGTTTCGACCATAACACAAACGGTCATCATCAGGTCGAAACGTCGTGATATATTTTTTTATTGTTCTATATATATTTTATTATTTTATTGTTTCCCTTCAACGTTACTTTACCGAAAGAGCTAAGAATATGAATACTTCCACACTTCGTTAACAAAAAAAATGTAAGACACGCCGTGTCAGCGGCACTATGGAACAACGACAAACAGCAACGAATGAGCTGCAGCTGACATAATCGATCTTTCTGTGTGCGTGTGTGTATATATGAAAAAAATAAGTAGGCAGCTTGCCACGCTGTGTGCCAATGTTTTCTTTGAAAACAATTCGGCAGAGTTCTTTCTTGAATGAAAAGTTGGCTCAAATGTTACTCTGAATTTAATACGCAGGGAGTCCTTTTTTGGCTTTGGGCAAAAGATTAGAAGGTGGTTATAGCATTGGACATCGATAAATGGATTGTGGTCATGCGATGCTGTTAACATCGATGATGATTCACTGTGAGGTTAAAAGGGTAAACATGAAATATGATGCTCATAAATAAAAGTGAGTATAGCAGAGTAGCACTCATCTCCATTGGTGGAGCCTCAGCCAGTAACTGAAATGTCCTCTTACTCGGGCAAGGGCCAGTCTTTCCATAACATGGGCACAAATGGCTTTACGTTCGAATCCTGGTTGACGTGATCCAGCCCATGGTTCCTCAGCCCCCCAACTCTCCGTTACCATCTCACCACCTCACCCCTTGACCCTATCTCTGCTTGCCTTCTTACCTCCATCATTCCCTCCTTTCTTCCCTTACTTACTCTCCCTTTACAATTCAAATCCTCCTGTGCCTTTCCTGCTAATTTCAAGTCGGCCATCATCGCCCCACTCGTGAAGAAACCCTCCTTCGATGCCAACTGCATCTTCGATTACCGTCCCATTTCCCTGCTTCCCTTCCTCTCCAACGTTCTCGAGCGTTTTGTCCACTCCCTCCTCAACAACTTAATCTGCACCCACTCCCTCATCCCACTCCACTCCACAGAAACCGTGCTCATTATCATCCAGAACCACCTGAACAACTCGGTCCACGCACATCTCTCCCCATCATCCCACTCTTCTCTCTACTCTCTCTAATATGGGCATTTCTGGCACTGCTTTATCCTGGCTCCGATTATAGCTCTCTTCAGGCTCATCCTCGCTCTCCTTCGTTCACTCCTGCACGCCTCCTGCACCCGTCACAGCCGGCGTTCCCAACCTGGGCCTCATTCTCTTCCCTCTCTACATCTCCCCTCTCAATCTCCTCCTTTAACTTCTCCCACCGCTTCTTCGCCGACGGCATCCAAATATTCTTCTCTTCCTCCACTTTCACTCCGGGCCTCTCTCCTCGCATTTCAGCCTGCCTAACCACCCTTCAGTCTTGGATATTGCTTCACTTCCTTGCAAAATTGACCCCCTCTAAAAACCAGCTTCTCTTTTCCCCCGCCACTCTCTCCCCTCCACCCACTCCCCACCACCATCACCTTTCCACCCCTCTCACCCCCCCCCATCCCCTCTGCCCACCACCTCGGTCTCCTCTTCGACTCCTCCCTTTCCCTCGCCTCTCGCACCTCCGCCATCACCCGCAACCGCTCGTTTCCACCTCGTCAGCATTCGCAAAATACGCCCTCTCATCCACTCAGTCACCCATCTTCCCTCGGTTAGACTACGGTAACACTCTCTCCTACTCGGTCCCCCAGCCTACGCATTCATTCCACTACAATAGATCCAAAATGCTTCCGCACGTTTCATTTACAACTTACCACACAGCTCCCGCACCTCCGCCCTTCTTGTAGAAATGCACTGCCTCCCCATCTACTCCCGGTGTCTGTTCCAGCTCCTTACGCTAGTATATAAACCTCTTCATGGCCTTACCCCCACATTACCTCGTTTCCCTTGCATTGTCTTGTCCCCGCCTGCCCGCTTCGCTCCGAATCTCTCATACTCCTCACCGTCCCCCCGCTCTCCTTGTGCACCATCACCATTTCCGCTCCTTTTCCCTACTCGCCCCCCTTGCACTGGAACAAACTTCCCCTCCCATCTTTCCCTCCGTCCCCAGGTACCCCCCATAATTCCCATAGCCCACTAACCTCCCTGCCCATACCCCATCCCTATTCACCATGTTACTTCTAGCTACCCTCATTATATCACTCATAACGCTTGTAAAGCACCTTGGATAAAACACCAGAAAAGTCTAAGATTATGCAGAGAAAATGCTTTAATAGCTCTGCATCCTCACTGCCTACTGATACATGGAGCCCAAACAAGAATACGAACGGCAGTTTTATTATGCTCTATTTGCCCGATTGTAACATTATCACACCACTAACATATACTTTGAATAATTAACAAAAAAAATGTTTGACTGTAACACCCATGAATTGACGAGTGTATTGTGAGCACGTAAGTCTGTGTTCATCGACGAATCTATGAATCGATACATGCCGACTAATCATGATATTGACTACGTGACCACCACTACCGCTGTATGGTTATTACTATAGAGATGACAATGATCACATTGATTCAAGTGATAATGCAATACGGTGATAAGGATGTGGATTGCTAAGGAAAATGCCAAATTAAACAACCTAAGTCAAGATTTAATTCCGCAGATGAATGTAAGATCGTACCACGCAGTGCATGGAACTGAGACTTGGCCAATCACAGCGGCCAATGCAAGGAAGTTATACGCAGATGAACATAGAGTTATTTTTTTGGGGTTAGATCGCGTAAATATGCGTCGTTAAACCCGCCACCACCGCACCACCCGACACAGCATATCATCACAGAGAGCTGAGATATATCTTTGACATATGATGGAAAAAAAAAACAACAGGCTTAAACCTGCAGGTGTTAAGATGTTCCAACAACAAATAGGCACTCGTCACAAGCTATCATGTCTGCATTACCACACGAGTAAAACGTGCAAACAAACATGTTTTGAGAGTTTATGTATTGTCCTCGAAACTGATCGGCGTACACCGACGACAGCCTCTGTTATGGCCTTGTCTCGTCAGTGTCAGACCAGAGAACGCCAAAAGGTGAACATCTTAACACCTCTTGTATTCTTGCCAGAATGCTTAAAGCCTTTCCTGTTTTTTCATCATCTTGATGCCAGCAACAAAGGGTCGCATATACATCGTATGCACATCTTGGAAACGCACATTAACAAGTGAAGAAGCCTGTCAACGAACCGACCAACCAACTGTTGCGAATGTCCAGTTATCAGAGGAAACCGCTCTCTACGGTGGCTGCGAGACGTTCAGCGCACCTCCGATGAGCACGGTTGGCCACGTACGGTGCAAAAGAAGTTCAACGTACATACGTACGTTACCGTACGCCCCCTGCAATAAAGAGACGAAACGAGCCTCCGGCCGGACACTGGGAAGGGGGGAAATGCAAGAGAGGATGACCACATCGGTGAGCCGGAGCCACATTCGGTCAAAGGGATATACCATCTGATGGGGGGGGGGGGGTCACTCGGGAAGAGCTTCCGCTGATGGCGCTGGATCGTGATGAGAGGTAGGCGTTGGGTTGGTCGATGTGTGCGCGGTACGGGACGGAGTGAGCAGCCAGGATAGAGAGAAAGAGTGAGCGAGAGAGCGAGAGAGAGAAAGCGAGAGAGAGAGAGAGGGACACTCACATCCAACGTCCAGGGAGACCGTGGCCCGGGCATCACCGGCCTCGTTGGTCGCCTCGCAGGTGTAGTCGCCGGCGTCGGGCTCCTGCGTGCCCTGGATGGTGAGCGTGCCACGCCGCGTGTCAATCTCCAGGAACGGCATGCTCTTCAGCTCCAGGTCTCCTGCAGAGACACGGACGCACGCAACGCAGACACAAAATTCACCATGTACGACAATTATATTATCAATAGACTCCATCGCTGTGTTCGAGTCACAGCTCAGAACACATCTCTCTGTGCTTGCATACAACGACGAACTCACAACCACAGCTTGCTTGAATTTATTTTCAATTTTTTATGCCCGTAACGATGCGATGGCAATTTGGGTTGCAGATTTGTGCCAAAAAGGTGTCACGTGTTAACCAAAAATAAATTGACTTGAGACTTATTGTTGGCTTTCACAAAAGCTCTCCCATGTGTGTCCGACGTTCCGCTCAACGTCCAGGAAGCTTCTTTGGAAACTGAATTAATTAAACTGAATTAATTCCGAGACTGTGCGCGTGTTGTACGTGTGTTCATGTTTTTACACGCGTTGTGCATTTGTGTGTGCTACACTATGATCCTGGCAACCGAATTTCAATTCTTGCCCGTCATGCACAACATCACCGGCAAGTGCTATCGGAATCCTCCCTCTACCACCCTCTAGATAATAATGCAAATAATAATCTACAGCACTTTATAATTCCACTGTTGGATGAGGGCCTCCACACTCCGTGGGTGTTATTATCTTACTCTATTTCACCACGCTTGTCAGTTCGGGCTGGTGAAGGTGGGAACCATAGCCGTGGGAGCATCGAAGTAAATTACAACAACAGATTTATTTTTGCTGCCCACCACATAGTGCCACGGCCTAAAACACCTGCATCCATGATGATTGCCCATCCCAACAATATCCTGGCTAAACCCTGCTTAGCTGGTACTTGGATGAACAAACATTATTGTTGTACTACATGAAAATGGACAAAAAAAACATCTGGATGCTGAAAGGATATGCAACATTTTTTTTAATATAATAAGCTGTAATGTGTGTTTTTGTGGTGGTGTGGTGGTGAGCAGTAGCGTAGCGGTTAGCACGATCCGTTACGGGACCCGGCCACTCGAGTTTGATTCCCGCTCACGGCCAACATCGGTGATTAATATCTGAATCGGTCCTCAACTCGGCCTCAAATTAGTACCTGGTGTGGTGTGTAAACATCGCTACTGAGGAGACAAAGGCGGCCAGGCGTGGTGCTGGCCACTCACCCCCCCCCCCCCGTGTGCCATTTTGGCCTTCATAGGTGCTCGCTAACAGCGGTTGCACCCGACTTAAGAGCCGCATGCCTCACAGGGCTATACCTAATAAATGAAACTTGCCCCAACAGTCTTTTACGCTATTCGGGGGACCTTTGTCTTTATCTTTGGCATGGTGGCGGAGTGGTTAGCACACTGCACTATGAGCCCAGCGACCTGAGTTTGTATGCCAGCCATCACTAACGTTAGCGGTGAAGCATAGTCTAGACCGCTATGACTGGAAGGCATGGATTAAATACGAACATGAAATAATGATATTTTGAGCAATAATCTTTCTGTCTGATAGAAGAAAGATGGTAGAAATGTGGATGGACTTAAAAGATTGAGGCCATATGTTAAACCTGGGGCGGGCAGGGGGAGGGGGCTGAAAACAGGGACATTTGAGTCAATGTGACAGTAAGGATACTGCATGTGAATTGACAAGCACGTAATTTTCCACCGGCAGATAGCACGTAGTAATAAAAGCCTTAAAGGGTGAAAAAAAAATGTTAAATTATTTACTTAAGTTAAAATTACGTATCAATTTCAGATGGCAGCACTTTCGTGGGAGGTCGTCAGGTAATGCATTTTTTCATGGTTAAAAGTTGAATACTCATAGTCATGCTTCGCCTGTTTTACCTTGAAAATACTTACCAGGGTTCGTTCAAATGCATTGTTTCTGCAACTATACTTGCATCTACAAATGTTTCCACGTTAAAACACATTAATTATACATATATTTTTAATGTAACTTCATTATTGCAGGCTAATATGAAACAAACAAAAAATATTCCTTGTAAACTGTGCACGGTCAAATCGACTTAAATTCCACCCAGTAAACATGCAACGCTGGGCCACCGCTGGCACGCGGTTGAAACCGTTGGACCAATGCTGGCCCAAATGCTCCATGCGTACTGTGGGTAATCGTCCTAAAATCAAAACTGAGCAAGCACAGAAACCACCAGCGGTGTCCATAAACAACAAATCTGGAAATGACACGATACATATAACCCACAAGCCCGGAGTAGGAACAAGCAGTAAAAACACGCAGATGATAAAAGTTTAATGGCCGGTCCCGTTGCCTGAAAATTGTAAACGATAAGGAAGACGAGTTCCAGCTAGCGTAGTGAAGTTATGAGATTATCCACAGTTGAACTCTGCGAAGTCCACTGAACATTTGCAGAGACAGTACCGTGGTGGAATGTTTTGTTTGGCTTCTGTGCGCAGAAAGGGCTGTGAGGATAAGGTCATTAATACGATGAGACTGGCTCCAATTATACTTTCCAATTAATTTTCAAAAGTTGTAGTGTATACTCCTTTTAAAATGACAAGCAGTCAGACGAAACGGCAATTTCTCTATCTGCTGCCAAGCAAAGCGGCATCCCATAACTGACAGCAGAACATCCAGTGCTAGCCATAACTATTTAACTAGCAGTAAAGTATTTGCTGACGATAATCATAATAGTGAAGAAGAAACATTATTGTATGTTGTGCACTCCAAATAATTTAGTGCTTGGTTTATTTTCAGCAAATTTATATTTTAAACAAAAACAAGATAATAAATCATATTACGTGCATTCTTTTGGTAGTATTTTTCCAAGCACAGAGGCAAGATCACGGATGTAATTTGTTTGAATAAAACATGTTTTCCTCTCAGAGTCTCCGGCTGAAATCCCAAGAAAAAGAAGTTAGAAAGGAATTTTAAAATGCCATTTTTTTCGCAACATGGTTTATATAATTTAGCAGATTTACATCTTTGCGCGTTTTTGTTGCATGTTTGTGAGATGATTTAAGATAACATGCATTAACCAAGACATGTCGCTAACGTGAGTAAACGTTCCCAGGAGAAAGTGTAAATGTTGCGCGCTTTTATACTTTGGGAACACGAAGCCATCGACTCGGAAGGCATAAATTATAAGGTGATATAAACCCGAGGCTCAACAGATCTTGATTGGCACTGAGTAAAATATTATCTACAACAGAAGTGTTTCAAGCACTTCTGTTGCCTACCCGTGACAATTTGCCCACTTAAGATTTACACGAGCGATTTCATTCATTCATATTTTCTCACGTTTAACTTCCGCATACAAATTTAGAGTGCGTGAAATCTTCTGATACCATCCTAGCCAATCAGAGATGTTTGTCGATCCAGTCATAGCCGGACAAAGGACTTAGATGTTGCCAGATTCGACTGCTGGGGCAAGTGCTGTTTGTGAGCGCCTATTAAGGCTGACATAGTATGAAGGGGCATGTGGGGTGAGCACCACATCCAGCCACCTTTGCCCCCCCCCCTTGACAAGCTGCATGGGGTACTCATTTACGGCTAAGGTGACCTAGAAGGAGGCCATACCAATTGCTTGTGGTGGGTATGGCTTGTAATCGGGTCACAACTTTTGAGGTTGTGGCAGGGTGTAATAATCATCATCATCATCACAAAAATACTTCCTAAAACACTCTCAATTAAGTATAGTATGTCAATGATGTTCCAAAAAATGGTTCTTTGGCAACTTCTGATAAAATATCAGAGTAATACTAATTATTATAGTATAACGTGAGAATGTATAAATATTTGGTCAGATGGTATTTCTTCTCGAGCTGTTGATTTACAATCGGAAAGCAGCGAGTTCAAATCCAACTTCTGATAAAATATCAGAGTAATACTAATTATTATAGTATAACTTGAGAATGTATAAATACTTGGTCAGATGGTATTTCTCCTCGAGCTGTTGATTTACAATTGGAAAGCAGCGAGTTCAAATCCAAGTTTGGGGTCAACTCCGTCTAACAACCCTCCAAGGTTAATTCCAGTATCACTTTGGAAGCAAGTGAGCAATGGTTTTGCTGTGAAGGGGGCTGGCCTCCAATCATGGAAACGTGAAATTTCCACCAAGGGTTTGGGGTTTCTAACATATTTGTATGAGCAGGGTAATACTTTGATTTCAACTTGACTTGGACACCGTGATATAAACAAGTGGGTTTGTTTAATGTTGTAGAGGATACACTTAAATAATTCCACAAGGGCCATTTAGGATCGTCTTGGAATGGGCCTTGCCTATAACTTAGAGAGAGCCTTTTGGTGAACACAGTAATGTATAGGCAGGTCTCATGTTAAATGGAACAGTAAAATGTATGAAGAGATTCACACTTGGCACTCGCGCGATGTATTAATTTCTTCAGCCACAATATGCGCGCTCACCTTTGTACCACTTGACAACAGGCTCAGGCACACCAGTGGCCTGGCATTCCAGCACAGACGTGTCTCCATTGGCAATCAGGATCTCTTCACGAGGAACCGTGATCTTGGGGGCCTCTGTTTGGATTGACACACAGGACGCAGTGTTAAAGCGTCGCACTACAATCATCACCAACGGCCAAGGCCGCTCATGGCTGCGCAAGTGGTCTGTAGTCCAGCACTCGGTTGGTGGTGGATCGCCGCGCACAAATGTTATGAAACTCCCTTCCCTTAGGCATTGAGGTTGTTCAACGGATTTCTGAGCTGGGTGAATGGATCTCTGAGCTGGGTGAACGGATCTCTGAGCTGGGTGAATGGGTCTCTGAGCTGGGTCAACGGATCTCTGAGCTGGGTGAATGGATCTCTGAGCTGGGTTAACGGATCTCTGAGCTGGTTGAACAGATCTCTGAGCTGGGTGAATGGATCTCTGAGCTGGGTCAACGGATCTCTGAACTGGTTGAACGGATCTCTGAGCTGGGTGAACGGATCTCTGAGCTGGGTCAACGGATCTCTGAGCTGGGTGAACGGATCTCTGAGCTGGGTGAACGGATCTCTGAACTGGGCGAACGGATCTCTGAGCTGGGTGAACGGATCTCTGAGCTGGGTCCGAAACGTCGTGATTTAATTTAGTTGTTTTCATTGGATAGATGTCATCAACCAAGTCAATCTTTAGCTGCCTTATAATTGTACAGCCGTTTGCGTTTCTTCCAGTTGGTTGCGCTCGCTTTCGACAACCGCTCGCCATCGCCTCTCCGTCCCCCTAACCCCCTGCAGCATCACAAAAGGCGGCTTAAGTTAGCCCCCCCCTCACGGCCCTTCCTGGCTCCTCCCCCCCCCCCTTAACCTGTATATAATCTCGGGTCTCTTAGAGCTCTCTTCACTTGATACAGCTATTTTGCTGTGACGGTTTCCACCTGAAGACGGAAGCTTGTGTTGCCTCCAAAACGTCGTGATTTAGTTGAGTTGTTTTCATTTATTTTATTTTACCTACGTAACTTTACCGAAAAAACCAAAGAGTATGAATCCTTGCAGTCACGAAAGCTTCAAATCTAGAATTGATCTAACGTGTTTTCTCTCTCTCTCTGTCTCCCCTCGTGTTGTTGCTCTTATTTCCTGCAGTCGCGAAAGCTCCAAATTTCTCATTGACATGCTAATTTCACTACCCCCCCCCCCTCTCTCTGCCCCCCTCTCTCTCTATTTATGGCCTCGACACAGAGGTGTTGTTTCTCTGTGTGCCTATGTGTGTGTCTCTCTCTGTGTGCCTACGTGTGTGTCTTTCTCTCTCTGCTTATGTGTCTGTCTGTGTGTCTATGTGTTGTGTGTCTCTCTCTGTGTGTCTCTGTGTTATCTCTCTCTGCTTATGTGTCTGTATATGTGTCTCCGGATCTCTCTCTCAACGTAATCAACCAGGTAGGGTGTTGACTGTTATGTTAGCCGACTCTGTGTTGTATTGCATTATATTTCTAGGTTTACTCGTTTTATTTTCTCTTTTATTTGTACCTGATGATGGTTGCTTGTGTTGCAATCGAAACGTCGTATGCTATTATTTAATTTATTATTTTCTCTTTCTACGTGAATTTACCGAAATAACCAAAGAGTAATTCCTGCAGTCACAAAAGCTTCAAATCAAGTTTAGGTGTTAAGATGTTAAAACACCAAACTGAAACCTTTTACAAGGAATCATGTCTGCATTAACCACAATGCTTGTGGTCAGAATGCAAACAAAAAACACACTGATAATGTGTGCATTGTCCTTGAAACTGATTGTGGTTAATGCAGACATGATTCCTTGTAAAAGGTCTCAGTTTGGTGTTTTAACATCTTAACACCTGTTTTGTTGCCAGAAAAAAGGGGAAAACCTATTAACAAATACTGACTTCATGTCATCCTCATATTCCGCAAAAAAAGAAGTGGGAGTGGAGATTTTAAGCGGTAACACACGGGGCAGATGGACTGCTCAGTGGGCATTACACATAACGGAACAATGTGCAAACTCGGCAGTGTTCTGAACCCCAGTGCCTCCTTTGAAACGTGACTGATTGTCTCCAATAAAAGAGGCAGTTTCCAGCCCCAACAGGAGTGCAGTGCACTCGCAAGGGTTGGAGGGCATCATGCTTCAAAAGCGCACCGCGAAAATTCCTCCAAGTGGCAGACGGAGGCAGAAAACCACGACGGTGAGAGAAACGGGGAATGAACAACACACGATAAAAAACAAGAGGAGGTAGCGAGGCAGTTGAGGAAAATCAAACAAGTATATTTTACTAATAACGATAGGAGTGATGCAACCAATCGCTTGTCCATCAACGTTCATTTTTCAAAGAGGATCCAGCACTGGGCCAGTGCCGTTAAAATGAGTGGCAGTGACGAGGGAATTGACGCTAGCACCCAGAGGAGGCCCCATCGCACACGACGGGGGGGGGGGGATGATACTCCGAGTTGCCAATCTCACGACCGTCTCAAAACCCCACCGCCTTCTACAACACCTGCCCTGGCAAGACCCGACGGTAACTAATCCGAACACTGTACGAACTAGGCTAAATGTGCTTAGCTCATGAGATACGATGAGCTGGGTGTATATTCAGAGTGATTTAGGCATTGGCACATTTACACACTGACAAACATATGCACGGGGGCTCCGTGGTACAGTCGCTTATGCGCTACACTATGAAACCGGTGACATGAGTTGGATTCATTGCCACGGTTAAACATCAGCCCTGAGTGATGTCTGAACCAGCCCCGGTTCCCCCCACCCCTTCACTAACCCACGCCGATCAGCGTGGTGAAGTATGGTCAAACAACTTTAATGACTAACACAACATGTCTTTCACCCGGAAACGGATTGACTTAGGGCTGTAAATTATTATTACTGGCATGCACAGGACAGATGCAGATAGCACGTGCCAGTGATCCTGTGCACAATGGCCAATAATTCAAACCAGGTTGCCATGACCGTAGCGTAGTAAACGCATCTAGAGACAAATGCACAAACGAAACGATGTGCACACCGACAAACACACACAGGCGCAAAGATAAAGATCTCCCGTATAGCCTTAACAGACTGTTGGGGCAAGTGCTGTTAGCGAGCACCTATGAAGACCGGCCCGCGAATCGCATCTGGAACTCTACACGACCGCATCGGGGCAGAGAGAAAGAAAATGGCGAGATAGAGTGATGAGAGAGAATTTGATGAGATAAAGTGATGAGAGAGAATTTGATGAGATGAAGTGATGAGAGAGAATGTGATGAGATAAAGTGATGAGAGAGAATCTGATGAGATAGAGTGATGAGAGAGAATTTGATGAGATAGAGTGATGATAGAGAATGTGATGAGATAGAGTGATGAGAGAGAATTTGATGAGATAGAGTGATGAGAGAGAATTTTATGAGACAGTGATGAGAGAGAATTTGATGAGATAGAGTGATGAGAGAGAATTTGATGAGATAAAGTGATGAGAGAGAATTTGATGAGATTAAGTGATGAGAGAGAATTTGATGAGATAGAGTGATGAGAGAGAATTTGATGAGATAAAGTGATGAGAGAGAATTTGATGAGACAGAGTGATGAGAGATAATTTGATGAGATAAAGTGATGAGATAATGTGATGAGAGAGAATTTGATGAGATAGAGTGATGAGAGATAATTTGATGAGATGAAGTAATGAGAGAGAATTTGATGAGATAGAGTGATGAGAGATAATTTGATGAGACAGAGTGATGAGAGAGAATTTGATGAGATAAAGTGATGAGATAATGTGATGAGAGAGAATTTGATGAGATAGAGTGATGAGAGATAATTTGATGAGATGAAGTAATGAGAGAGAATTTGATGACATAGAGTGATGAGAGATACTTTGATGAGATAAAGTGATGAGAGAGAATTTGATGAGATAAAGTGATGAGGGAGAATTTGATGAGATAAAGTGATGAGAGAGAATTTGATGAGATAGAGTGATGAGAGAGAATTTGATGAGATAGAGTGATGAGAGAGAATTTGATGAGATAAAGTGATGAGAGAGAATTTGATGAGATAGAGTGATGAGAGAGAATTTGATGAGATAGAGTGATGAGAGAGAATTTGATGAGATAAAGTGATGAGAGAGAATTTGATGAGATAAAGTGATGAGAGAGAATTTGATGAGATAGAGTGATGAGAGAGAATTTCATGAGATAGAGTGATGAGAGAGAATTTGATGAGATAAAGTGATGAGAGAGAATTTGATGAGATAGAGTGATGAGAGAGAATTTGATGAGATAAAGTGATGAGAGATAATTTGATGAGATAGAGTGATGAGAGAGAATTTGATGAGATAAAGTTACTAGAGATAATTTAATGAGATAAAGTGATGAGAGAGAATTTGATGAGATAAAGTGATGAGAGAGAATTTGATGAGATAGAGTGATGAGAGAGAATTTGATGAGATAAAGTAATGAGAGAGAATTTGATGAGATAAAGTGATGAGACAGAATTTGATGAGATAAAGTGATGAGAGAGAATTTGATGAGACAGAGTGATGAGAGATAATTTGATGAGATAAAGTGATGAGATAATGTGATGAGAGAGAATTTGATGAGATAGAGTGATGAGAGATAATTTGATGAGATGAAGTAATGAGAGAGAATTTGATGAGATAGAGTGATGAGAGATACTTTGATGAGATAAAGTGATGAGAGAGAATTTGATGAGATAAAGTGATGAGGGAGAATTTGATGAGATCAAGTGATGAGAGAGAATTTGATGAGATAGAGTGATGAGTGAGAATTTGATGAGATAGAGTGATGAGAGAGAATTTGATGAGATAAAGTGATGAGAGAGAATTTGATGAGATAGAGTGGATGACAGAGAATTTTGATGAGATAGAGTGACTGAGAGAGCATTTGATGAGATAGAGTGATGAGAGAGAATTTGATGAGATACAGTGAGTAGTAGAGAATTTGATGAGGATAGAGTGATGATGAGAGAATTTGATGAGATAAAGTGATTGATAGAGAATTTGATGAGATAGAGTGTATGAGAGAGAATTTGATGAGATAAAGTGATGAGAGAGATTGATGATAAAGTGATGCAGGAGAATTTGATG